AAAATCCATGTACCATATTTTGTCTGATTGTATTCGTGGTTAGTAGTAGAACAGGATCACAAGATGATGCTCAAAATGTTATAAAGCTAGAACATTAAAGCATTATGTCTCCAATCGCATTGATAGCAGCTTAAGAGAGGATCACCTACAGACATCGATAATTTCCTTAGATTTGACAACACCTAACAGGTAAGTGCTTTTCATTAGGTTTATATGCCAGATCAATTATTGAAAGCGTTTTAGAATGTTTAAAATTTCGGAGAATGGGTAAAACTACATGCAGTTCAGATTTGTATGTTGTAATGCTGAGTGATGTATCATTCTCAGGCAGTTATGGTGCAGAAGAGTTTCAGAGAGTTCTTCGATGGTTAATGATTGATATTATCTTGCTTTCTGAGGAGTAGGAAAGGGAAAGCGAAGAAATAAAGATTTTAAAACAAAAATCCAGTATGTTATCGCTCGATGTATATATATAACCTTGCATTCTCAGCATGTAATTCAACTAATCTACATGTCACTAATTTAAATCAATCTATCCACTGTTCATTTCGTAATCATGTATTGTTTTTTTGTTTCTGTGTTTCTGTCAGTTTTTTATTGTTATTATTCATTATTACAATCACAATTTGTTTGTTTTATTTCCGAAAATCATTATAAAAAACAATAACACAATATAACAAAATCAAAGACTTATATAACAATGATAGAATGATAAAACGGTTGGATAGTCCATTTCAGAGCCATTAACCTAATGGCTCTGTTCTTCCATGGAGTCCAACATATATATATAATGATACTATAATAAGTAATGATATAACAAAATAGTAAGTCGTAATTAAAAAAAACACAAAAACATTGTACTTGTACTTAACCTAACTAAATCAAATTAAATCAAATTAAACAAAAAACACTAACAAAAAGCATTAAAATCTATTCAAATATCCCCTACCATCCCACCCTTATCACCCACCCTGCTAACAATTAACTTAATTAGTTTTAAAATATTCTACACATTATCTAATTTAGTCTGTTATTAAATTGATTATGTTTATGGCAAAAGCCAATGGGATTGACAATGCTTGCCCTCAACCATATAAGTCACGACACCGTCTTAGAAAAGGCAACTAGGCGTTGTGGCGTGCGCCTGTAATCCAGCTAAAAAGTGGAAGTTACAAACTGATTCAGCCGAGGACGCAGGTTCGAAACTGAGTCACGTCTTTCGGATGGTGACGTTTAAAGGTCGGTCCCAGACGTAAATAATCATATCTGATTGATACACGTCTGTAAAAACCCAATACACACACACATACAAAAGGCAAAGGACGACTATGTGTACAGGGCCTAATATTCTGTGATTTGCTCGTTACTGATTTTGACATGCCATGTATAAAAATGGCATCGTAAAAAAAAGTGAATGTAAAAATGATTAGTGCAATTTTGCAAGAAATTACTTTTGAGCAAACTCATTTTACATGCTTGACTAGTTCAGCTGATTACGCGATGAAATCACGCCATATTTACAACATGAATTTAACATTATGTTCTAGGTTTGAAATAGAAATGGCATCCAAGCTCATCATTGCCGCGTTTCTTCTGGTCGTTCTTGTGGCCGCAACCAGTGGCGTTCGCATGGGTGGTGTGATCGTCGTTAAGGAGGAAGCAGGTAAGCATTCCATTGAACAATTTCGATTCCATAATAATATGCCTGGTTTTTATGATATGACATTTATTTGCAAGACAAAGGCATGCCACATATTTCATTTATTGAATTGTAATTTGTAATTTGAATTTAGTTTGATTTAGTTTGTTTGATGCGTATCCATTGTATCATTCCCAAATCCGGGCTCTCATTTGGTAAAACGTTCGATGCGTGGATTGTGTAACTGAGACAAAAGAAGCTCGAAAAGTGGCGGAAGCCATAGGTTTCGTAAACACTGGTCATTTTGTTTTAAATATCTCAAGTCTGTTTTACACTCGACCTATCCCACTCCCTAGAACTGGTACTGGGACTGGGACAAAATGTAGTATTATAGAACGGACTATACCACGATTGTGCTCTTTATCAAAATACAAGAAGCAAACGAAGAATTAAACAAAAATGAAACAGCTCAATTGATTCGACCTTAAAATCAATTTTTAAAATCGAAATCAATTTGTTTCAGGGAAGCCAGTGAAATTGACTTTTCCCCAACAAATTTGTAACTCACATTGTGTATATAAAGAAAAGTTTCCAACACGCAAGTTGTAATAAAGTAGCTATACAGACATAATGTTAGAAAGTAACACGAATCATAGCAGTAAAGTTGAAAAGCAACCTAACTCATCTTGGCATATGTTTTTATGTCAGTTCTGGGGTATTTTCTTAATAACTGGTCCATTCTGTATTTTGTTTGTGTTACAGTGTGCACATACAATGGCATGACATGTCCCTGTAACGATAACGCCAAATGCCCCAACGGTAAGTTAGGCAATACTAGAACCGCCATTATAATGACGATCGCGAAATCAACGCGAGGTTAATTTCAATATCACAATCCCATACAAATCATTTGCTGATCATGTAATACATGTGCGTGTGTGTTATATGCGGGTTTGAATTTCAGTGACTAACTTGGTAAGAATAGTATGTGACATAGTTTAACGTCATGAAGCTAACCCAAGTATTCACGTAATGTGCCTTATGAATATAGTATATAACATTTCATAAACATAATATCAACAATGTTATGACAACTATTGTGCTAATTGATAGGAATTTTCATAAAATGGCAGTAAAAGTGAATACACACGAGCAGTGTGTTAAATATATGAATGGGAAAATAGTAAACGGATGATGAGTGAGGTGACAGCCCCGCCCCCCTCCCCTTTCTTTGATTTTTGGGGGTATATAATCATGGCATCTGTTTGGGAAATGTGTTTTATCTCACAAAGGAAGCAAACAAAGCCTAATGAAGCAAACTGATCTTTTCATACACAACCTATCCATTTCAGCCTATACTTTGTTAGGCCTTTCAAGCAGATAATATTTTAATGCAAAATAAGAAGAGGGCCTTTTGTTGATTAAAGTTATGTTTGTCGACTTCTCACAATCACAGATGATACCCTTGTATCAGAGTCAGAGAGACGTGGAACAACGAAGAGAGCTGGCAGGCCGACGTGATGAAGGGCCACTATCTCCTCTGGTTCGATCATTTTGGGAATACGTCTAAATAATCTAGCCTACACCTCTTCAACATGAAGTATTCAGCAATAAATCGAGAACTTGATTCATCAGTTTTGTAAGCTTATCGTTAAAAGCCATAAGAAGAAACTACTATCATGTGTTATACTCGACACATTAAATGACGCACCTCACAAAATCACCAGAGTCTGTGTTTCTAACATTTAACGTTAAAGTGTTTGTCTCTTTGTAGTGATTATTATGAAACAAGTATAGCCTTTTTTTTAGTGGTTTTACTCATCAGGTGTCCTCGACCTATCTTTCTCTCTGTGGTAAATCCTTGGTAGAAAGATCCTTTAGATAGAGGAGCAGAGACAAGATTAAAATGAAACTGAGATGGAGAATGGGAAAGTGAGAGAGAAAATAAAGAGATATGACGGAGAGAGAGAGAGAGATATAAGAGGAAAGGGAGAGAGAGAGGGGGACAGAGAGAGAGAGAGATAGAGAAATATGATGGAGACAGAGAGATAAGAGGGAAGGGAGAGAGGGAGAGAGAGAGAGAGAGAGAGAGAGAAAAGAAATATGATGGAGACAGAGAAATAAGAGGGAAGGGAGAGAGGGAGAGGAGAGAGAGAGAGAGCGAGAGAAATATGATGGAGACAGAGAAATATGATGGAGACAGAGAAATATGATGGAGACAGAGAAATAAGAGGGAAGGAAGAGAGGGAGAGAGAGAGAGAGAGAGAGAGAAAGAAAGAAATATGATGGAGACAGAGAAATAAGAGGGAAGGGAGAGAGGGAGAGGAGAGAGAGAGAGAGAGAGAGAGAGAGAGAAATATGATGGAGACAGAGAAATATGATGGAGACAGAGAAATAAGAGGGAAGGAAGAGAGGGAGAGAGAGAGAGAGAGAGAGAGAAAGAAAGAAATATGATGGAGACAGAGAAATAAGAGGGAAGGGAGAGAGGGAGAGGGGAGAGAGGGAGAGGGGAGAGAGAGAGAGAGAGAGAGAGAAATAGAGGGATATGATGGAGAGAGAGATATATATATAAGAGGAAAGGGAGAGAGGAAGAGGGGACAGAGAGAGAGAGATAAGAGGGAAGGGAGAGAGGGAGAGAGAGAGAGAGAGAGAGAGAGAGGGGGGGTGGGGTGTAAGGTGAACCCGGAAGACCTATTTAGGTCTCAACATGCAGGAAAATCATTGTGTCAATGTATTTGTATGTGTATACATATATATCTATATACATCTCTATATAAATATTGTTATATTAATGTATGTTTATATACATAAACGAATGTAAGGAAATCAATCTCCCCCCCCCCCCCCCCCCAAAAAAAAATAAATAAAGACTGAGCCACTGTGGAATGTGCAACTCTCTCCACAAGCACAGTATGGGTGTGTGTGTGTGTGTGTGTGCGTGTGCGTGTGTGTGTGTGTGTGTGCGTGTGCGTGTGTGTGTGTGTATGTCTGTGTGTGTGAACTGCTTTAAATCACATGACGAGTAGAGAAAAAGGACATGAGTATAACAGTTATGTTAATTTAGTCTTAAAGCCTATAGAATAATTACGTGAGAGTAAAGAAGATTGTTCGAAATATTTCGTATCTTTCTTTCGTTCCTGCATCTCTTTGTTACTCTCTCTCTCTCTCTCTCTCCCTCTCTCTCTCTCTTTATCTCTCTCTCTCTTTCTCTCTTTCTAATCCTGTCAGTATTACTACCCCACTATTGCCAGGACTCATTTAAATACCCTGGGACTCGACAGACAGACGGGTAAAACACCATGTCTAAGGATGTATACAAGCACCGATTAAAACGATGAAGAGAATAAGAATAGGCAAAATGTAGGGAATATAATAAAATATTTATTACCCAAATGTATTAAAAGGCCTATACATGCTCAGATATATACTTGTTAAAACCATTGCATATGATAATCATAAAAACTATTGCATCATTATCATACACTTGAGAAAAGAGACGTAGCCTAGCTGTGTCTTTAATTTAAGAAAAATTAAACGTAGAAAGTGATGTTATCATGTACATTTATATGTACTTGTTGTCGTATAAAATAATATACAATTAAATTATACATTTCAGATTTTTCTATAAAATAGGGACGAATGAATTAAGTACTATAGAATCAGAAAATTATCATAGTCTGACAAATGTGACGTAATTTTTGAAAATATTTAATATGCCTATTAAATCAAATGTTGGTGAAGAATATGTTAAGAGAAAAAATAGAAGATAAAATGGCAGGGTTCCTAGTGCCCGTTGTGCACACGAGGGTTCATTTGCAGGAATATCACAAAGATTTAAAGATTAAGCGTTACGATAGTGTCGACAAACTTAAAAGAAATAAGTGATCATGGCGGATAAAAGGGCCATTAGTGACACACGAAGTGCGCTTGGGATATTACTCGATGCTGAGTTTAAGTTTAAGCAAGCGTTCATTGTGTCAGTTTCGTCATAGCAACCAGCGTTGCGCATCACGTGAGCAATGTAACTCTGTTCTTGGACACCATGGAAGAGATGGGCCATAGGTCCAGTGGCGTAGATGGCGACATCGTCACCGCCGTGGCTCTCGGAGGAGAGTGGGACGATAGCCTGTTGTAAGTAGTCCTTATCCTCTGTGATTTAAAATAAAAGTTAAAATAGTAAATAGAAACTTGAAAGAAGCAATTGCTTTGTAAATGCTCTGGAGATTCATCATAGAAGTAGATAGAAGGGGAAAGGGAAGACAATTCTCATGATCGCGACGAAATGAATTCGTCAAGGTGCTAAAGTTGAAATGCACTAGCAGAATTTTCATTATTATTACTCCTTATGCTTATGATGATGATGATGATGATGATGGTTATTGTCATTATTATTATCATTATATTTTGGCTATCATTAAATTCTCATTATTATTATTATTATTGTTTTATTGTTATCATCACAATAATTAATGATATTATCATTATTATTATTATATTAGTAGTAGTAGTCATAGTAGTAGTAGTAGTAGTAGTAGTAGTAGTAGTAGTAGTAGTAGTAGTAGTAGTAGTAGTAGTAGTCGTAGTCGTAGTAGCAGTAGTGGTAGAGGTAGTAATAGAAGTAGTGGTAGTAGTGGCAGTTGTAGCAGTGGTATCGGTACTATTTGATTTGCCGTCGCTGTTGCTACTGCTGCTGTTGTGGTTAATGATGTTTGTTTTTTCGAATGATCGTTGTTGTTAGTAAATGATATTCTCACCTGTGTCTATTTCAGTTAGATTGGGCCTCATCCCAGTATCACTGTAACTTTGACGCACCTCCTCGGCCCCAGGACCATTCAAATAACCCAAGGTAGTAAAGGGCAGATCGTCCGACCCGAAATATCCAGCTAATCCTTTGGACGGAAGAGGGAATATTGAGAATTAAATCGGCACAATTCTTGTTTATCATTAGCTATAGAAACAAAATATTGAAAATGAAATGAAGGTGCTGTGTGTGTAAAAACACACATAATTGTAAAAAACATGGGACGCCTTTGCGGCTTGTGCTTTAGTTTTGCATAGGATTGGTTTCATGTGAACGCCTATTAGAACTCATCGATATAGATATTGAACAATGAAAAATAGTTATCATACCCAGTGGTGTAGTGGCGGGAGACAGACGGGGAGGGCACCTACCAACGTACCCCTCCCGCGGCGCAAAAACAAATATTAAATGGACCGTGAACTATGAATCTCTCTCTCCACACCCTCCCCTTTATACTCGATCGCCTTGTGACATCGCATGTCAATCTCTTAGTAAGTCCGAACCCCTCCCTTTCCCCCTCTCTATGAAATGAGTACCCCCCCCCCCCCACCCTCAATGTCCCACAATTCGCCGTCTTTGTTACCGGAGAACTTAAAAGCAATATAATAATAGAATGAAAATGCTTTATTAATTTGTTTACGTCAATAATAGATCCTCATTGAGTTTTAACAAAAAGAAAAGGATACAATCCAAAGCAAAAATTACATCCGAAATAGAAAGAAAAAAAAAGTCAAAAGCAATTAAAGGGAAACAAAGAAAGTTTGTAAATTATTACTTACCAAGAATCTTATTCCCTCTGTCAGGATATCCACCAATACTCATGGTGTGGGCGTGGTCTGCAGTTACTACGATGAGTGTATCGCTATCACTCGTCATCTCCAAGGCCATAGCAACGGCGTCTGACATTGCTATGGCATCTCCAAGTGCGTTGTAGGCGTTACCAGCATGGTGGGCGTGGTCTATACGTCCACCTGTAATAAATTACGATTTTAATTCATATATCGTTATCACTATAAAAAAGAAAGCAGGATAGAATTAAACGATGCTATGAAGATAAAGTCAAAATTATAAATTCACCATTAAGATAACGAATGAGGAAGAATGACTGAAGAGGCGAAAACGGAACAGAAGACAGAAAGGAAGTGTTTTAGGGACTTTGGCCGCAAGGTATAGGAGAATAAACGTTCAAAACTACTGAGACCTCTTTTCCGTGAACATGTTGATTATGTTATGAAATCAGTTAGTGAAAATAATGTGATCATGTTATTGACAATTAAATGGCACTAAATATATAGATAGACAATTGCTTTATCAAGATTTGAACCAGTTTCGAAATTATGGGCCATAAGAAATACCTTCGACAGCGAGAAAGAACCCCTTTTCTTCTTTTTGTAGCATCTTAATAGCTTTCTCGGTCATGCTGGCCAAACTAGGGTCATTACCCTCCTCAGATTCGCTGGCGTATCTCATATGGGAATCTTCGAAGAGACCTGCAAGAGGGTGAAAGAAGGATGATCAAAATCGCATTTAAAGCCAACGAGAGATGGGCCAACCCGACTCAATAAAACTGATTAATTTTGCAGTTGTTTTGTCCAGAGGGATACAAGTACAGACTTAACAAATCCCTACCGTGCTTCTATCTGTCCTCTAACCCTCTCTTTTGCTCCCTCTGTAAGACCAAATAATTTACGATTTAAATTTGTTCTCTTTCTTATTTTCTGTAGAGAGAGAAAGGGTTGCTATTCTACCATTAAAGTGCAATCCCCCCTCTCTCTCCCTCTCTCTCTGTCTCTTTCTCTCTATCTCTCTATCTCGCACAAACACCTACATACACGACAGAACACGAGTCAAGAAGAAAAGTAGGTAACCATTCCAATGAAAGAAAGAATGAAATGAAAATACAAATGGTACTACCAGAAAAGAAAAGAATGTGCGGGGTATTAAAAAAAGACTTGCCAAACAGATAGTCGGTGGTGTCCTCGTCAATCGCGTCAAATTGTTCCTTGTTCCAAACGTAGTAGGCGTTGGCCTTGCCCTCTTGCCACTCCTCGATCAGATTCCTCCCGTCTGTACGGTTACCTCTGTCGCTTGGATCTTCCGGGTCAAGTTCAGTGTTATTATAAAACATCCTTCTTCCTCCCCCAAGGATGACCTTGAAATAAATAGATCATTCTTCATAGTTTCTTTAGTGCCCAGGACCTTGTGGTTCATACATCACTGAATGGCGAAGATGTCCTATCATGGTAACTTTGCGGTAGCCAAGGATAATCTTCAAGAGTTGTGATATCCCATTGCTACATGTATATTGACTTTAAAAATGGAACAAATATAGTCCGCATTGTACAATAATTATACTCAGTCACACCGCCAAACCGGTTCTGAGCCGACAGATTTTTGGCCATTCGGCGTAAATCAAATGTTTATGCGATCTATTGTCAATCTGGTGTCTGTATCATTTGTGTAAATTTGTTATAAGGAAAGAATGATATTATCAGTCATCTACACAGTTAAAATTTTAGTGAACATGTTGTTTAAAAGTTTAAACAACTTTGGATTAACGGGTGACCTGATCTAAGAGTTGTTTAAAATGTTAAGCAACTCGAGTTGTTTAAAGTTTAAACACTTAGTTGATCAACATTTTGAACAACTTGTTTAAAATCACAATTTAAACAACCGGTGTTGTTTAAAGACGGTTGTTTAAAACGGAGCTGTTGTTCAGTGGGGGTTGTTTACACCAACTGGGTTGTTGAAAGAAAGTTGTTTAAAACGGAGCTGTTGTTCAGTGGGGCTTGTTTACACCAACTGGGTTGTTTAAAGAAAGTTGTTTAAAAAGGAGCTGTTGTTCAGTGGGGGTTGTTTACACCAACTGGGTTGTTTAAAGAAAGTTGTTTAAAAAGGAGCTGTTGTTAAATAATAATATTACTATTGGATTCTTATATAGCGCACGTACCGACCTTGCAAGGTCCTCAATGCGCTCCAACATAACCCGGCTATGCTAGGCTGCCAAAAGACATTAGTGCCGCGGCGGGACTCGAACCGTGGACCTTGTGATCGACAGTCCGGCGACGTTTCCACTCATCCACAACACCTCTACAGCTTGGTCGGCCATGATGTGAAACAAAGCTTTTAGCCAACGCGCACTTTACTGCCACGTGACACATGATGTCATATGTAAACAACACTGTCTAAAAGCTCTCCAGTCAGACCGCAGCCGGTGCGAAAACCCTCTATTTTATTCAGCACGTATGCAAGAATGTACGTGTCTTGCATACGTAATGAGTAGTGCAGACGGTCTTGCCGATCGGCAATTTTTGCCTTTATAATTGTTCATTTCTCATGAAATGGGTCTTATTTTAAAGATAAGAAGTTGCACTCTCTATATACTTATATGACAATCATGTTAGATATATTTTGGAAACAGATATTTCGCCTTGAAAATGAGGTTTTTCGACGATAAATCTATCTAAAGAGTAGGGCTGATTTTCACATAGAAATCATTCTTGCGTCAAGAAGATGTTATAATCAGCATAAAGCATAAATATTTTTCTTTACAATGATATCAAAATTATTATATTTTACGCTGTCCCAAAGTCAGGAACCAAAAAAGATCACGCTCATGTTCATGAATAATTAAAAAAAGTAGTAAATTTTGCCGATGTGATAATAGAGAGTTCTGATTGGTCAACTACGTCAACTACGTCACATATGTTTCGCTTTGGTTTATTAACATTCTGATTACCGCATTTTGGTAACTATGCGTTGTGGCGTGCGCCTGTAATGCACGTGCGCGCAAGCCGTCTTGACAACAATCTAAGGACCCGAGATCAAAGACTTCACTTGCCATGTGGAAGATTCTTTTATACTGTAATTCTTTTTTAATCATTTTTCTAATTTTTTTTTCGGCTAGTCGATGGCGCGGCGGAGCTCCCTGGAGTTTAATAATCAGTTATGCATTGCCATTGCTCAGACGGCGAGCGTGCACGAGTATGAAATCACACAATTTCGCGCTATCATAAAAAGAACAAATTGGTAAATTCCGGGTTTTTAGGGTCTTAATTACTATGATTATAAAAAGAACATGATTTTGCGTCAATTAGGTTTTGACATATTTTTGATCAGTGACTTTTCATCTTTCGAACGAATCTCAAAGTGGACAAATTTATTTTGTCCCAAAGTCAGGAACCAAAAGTGAAATTCCCGGGTCAAAACAGCAGTTGAAATGTTACAAAAATAACGTCAATAAAAGTTGTGAAAAATTATTGTTTACAAATTGCGAAATATGGCAAATTACATATCAAACTGATGCTGAAAATCTCGAGAGTGACTTTCCGTTGCATGCTGCCATGTTGAATGAAGTTAACGACCCAAAACGCAGCTACATGTACACCCCTACAAATCTCACTGAAAAGCGCATGGAAATTCAGCAGACGTAAATGTTATGTGATCGCCAGATATCGCTGAATAAAAATCAGCTTTCAGCCTCATTAACGCGCGCGCTGCGGTCTGACTGTCTCGTGTAGTAAATATAGCAGTCATTAAATTTTAAACAGCGAATGTTTAACAAAATTACTTTCGTGTCGAGCAACATTGTTTACAATTTGTTCAACTGTTGTTTAAGATAGTGTACAACTGTAAGTGAATATCACTTTTTTAAGCAGCGTTTTTACTGTGTAGATAATATTCGAGGGATACGTGACGGAGCGTGAGTCTAACAATAGGAGGGGACCACTGACCCTCTACCACTGGTAGAGGTCAGTGGAGGGGCGCCCGTCTCACTTTGAATGTATATATTAATTTTCAAGGCCTCTGCTGATGGTGTGGGAAGGAGCCTTACTCTTCTGTCTTCGTTCGTATCCCCATTTCTCACATTCATTATTTGTTTTATAAGATTATGTTATATTTGTTTTTATAAAATGCGTTTTACAACATGATTTTACTAATGACCGGTCATTATCAAAATTGCGTGTTAAGGAAAATAAATGTCTGGTCATGTGTACGCTCATTTGATTGGGAGCCACGTCATCATCTTATAATAGGTCTATAATCACCTTGATAAATGAGTTGTCTTCGATGAGTTGAAGAGCGATATCCTTGCAGCCTTTCCCATCCTCTCCGTCTTCGATCATCTCAGTGTCTACCTCCCAACCTCTCTTAGCTACGTGTGCGTAGGTAGCAGCGGGCGTGGCGTGGGTGATGCGAGCTGTACTGATGACGCCCGTTGCTTTCCCTGATCGAAGTAAGATTCAAGCATAGAGTAATCATAGTCAGAAAATAAACGTATATATATATATATATATATATATATATATACATATTATGTTATATAAATACATAAAAATGTCACGCAACTTTTAAAATTGATTTTGCCCTTGCTGCCTTCCTTTTTGTGGCAAAAACTGTCTCCTCTAGGAATAAAACATACAGTAACAACCTACATGAAGTAAGGTGTGAGCGTGTATGTGCGTGCATGTGCGTATATGTGAGCGTGTGCGTATGTGTGTGTGTGTGCGTGACTGAGAGTCTGCTCGCATGATTTTGAGTGGGCGGGCGAGAGGGAGGGAGGCATGGAAGGAGGGAAGGAGGGAGGGAGAGGGCGAGGGCGAGAGAGATTTTTAAAAAAGTGTGTGTTTGTGTGTGTGTGTGCGGGTGTGTGTTTGTGCGTGTGATAGAGAATAATACTTGGGATAGTAAGAGACCACAGAATGTAATGATTACCGATATTATGGGCATTAACGAGAACCGAGTCGACCTCGCCACCCACCCCGCTCTCGCAATCGGCATACTCGACACGGTCGTCGATGCCGACAACTCCTGATTTAGTCTTGATACCGGAGAAGAAGGCCGTGGCGGTACCGGCAGAGTCGGGCACCTGGGCATCCGTGTTGTACGTCTGTGACGGAGAGATGTGGCAAGAGGCAGAGAGAGAGAGCGAGAGAGAGAGAGAGAGAGAGAGAGAAGAGGGCGAGGGGTGGTAAAGAGAGATGCCAGAGGGAAAAGGAGCATTAAAAATACAGGAATACAGAAGCAGAAAAGGAAAAAAGACATAGAGACAGAAAATAGTAACGAAAAAGAGAGAGAAAGAAAGAGAGACGGAGGGGAAGAAATAGTAAGTGAGAGAGATAGAAGAGGGCGAGGGCGAGGGGGTAAAGAGAGATACCAGAGGGAAAAGGAGCATTACAAATACAGGAATACAGAAGCAGAAACGCAAAAAGACAAAGAGACAGAAAAAAATAGTAACGAAAAAGAAAGAGAGGGAGAAAGAGAGATAGAGAGAAAGAGAGTATGCAGTTTTTTCTTTCTAATAACAATGAATAATAAAATTGGGCATCATTCTTTCATTAGTCACAACCATGAAAAAAACACAAAGACCTAACTCCCTTTCTTATTCCCTCGTATCTTCAGTTTATTTTATTTCTCATTGTCTCTCCCCTAACTCCTTTTCTGCCCCCTTTTCTCACTTCTATCTCTCTTTCTTTTTCTCTCATATATCTACGATTTCTTCATCTATCTCGTTACCCCTAATCTCCGTTCTGCTTACGAACAAACTTTTCAATTCATTACTAGCTCCGTTAAAAATGTAACAAACCCCAAAACTTAGTAAAGGAATATATAGATAGATAGATGAGAAAATAAATATATAGATGATAGATTCCTGCATCCTAATTTGAAATTTTCCTCATTTGGATAGTTAAAATCTGACCTTTATCAATCCAACATGTGGAAACGTTTCCCAAGCCAAGATATTCTCCTCTCCGGTCTCTCCCTTCAGTTGTCCTTGTCTGATACGGGCTGCCGTCACCGTAGGTACACTCATCCCATCTCCCAAGAAGAAGATGATGTTCTTAGCCTCCCCGATGTTGAGCTCCCGTTCAAGGGCCTTCTGGATAGAATCTCGAGCCTGGTTATTCCAGAAAGCGGCATCTGGGAGATTCAAAAAATTGTTGAAAATATTATCGCTAGTGATGTTCGTTTGTCTCGCAATGTATGGTCAACAAAGGGATCTAAAATATCACGACGTTTCGTGCGCCGCTACAACACTTGTTCAGGTGATAAAATATATTGTAAGCAAGCATGTTTTAAACTCTACGGGTGGACAGGCGGTCAATAATTCATCCGCAATGAGTAATAATCGATTATACAACTGATGACTTAATAATGAAGTAGGTTTATGTATGACCTTTGTATATTATTTTTGTATAAATTAAACACGTATTTCGGTCTAGTGGATACGTCACCAAATTGTTGAACACGTGGTTTAAGGTTCAAATCCTAGCCCGTCACTAATGTCATTTGGCAAGGCATTAATCAACATTTGCCTTTGCGTCTCCGACAGGAACTTTCAGCGCCTTAGGGCTAAAGACGTGTGATTCTTTACATTTATATATTGTGTATATAGGTATAAATACTTTTTTGTTTAATGATCGATCAATATAAATGGACCGAACCTCATGGCATTAAATGCCAGCCAAAGGTTTTATAGTGCTGTCAATTAAATGATTTAGAGTCATTATAGTCGTAACACTTGTTTACATGAGCGACTAATCACAGTCAGTAAATATCTAAGGGTTCCTTAGTAGGTCCGTGGGTCCTTAATAGAGGCGTGTCGATGTTAAAGATTGGTTATAAAACATATTTGCTTTAACAAAACTACCGTTCCGAACTTTGAATTATATAAGAGGAAGCAAAATACATAACAGTGAATGCCAACAATAGGATAATAAAACTAACGTGCATGCTACTGTATAATCTATTATTAATGTACTGCTATAGTGCGTGATTGTGTGCGGCGGTTTTTTAAAGTAAATGTATCGAGAAAAAAAAATTGGGACGTGTATACTTTCATGTGCCTTTCGACTACTTTCGACAACATTTGTTTTCCCATCATGTGATTATTTTTGTATGTAACATATGAGCAACACATTTTCCATACCGGTAGTCCTATTTTATACAATCTGAAACATAATTATAACTAAGGTTTTTGTATCATTTGATAAACGAACACCAATACAACATAATTCAGTGTTCATAATTTCACAATATATCATAGTTACCTTATAGGACAATGCTAACGCACTGCACAGTCATTTAATCCCAAAAACTAAACCAGCATTGCTCTTTTTTCAGAAAAAATGAATACTTTTGAAAATGTTGAGTTTCACATTTCTCAACATATTATTATACAGAATAGAAGTTATAAGTTTTTCCTTCAATAAAACACACCTTCTACCCAAACCCTCTCCCTTCCTTCCCTCTTATCTATTTCCTTGGACTCCTTGGACTTACCCCCTCCCCCTTCCCCCTTCCCCATCCCCCTCCCCATTTCCCCACCCTTCTACTTATTTGGATAGGGATAGTATTCTGGGACAGGTTTATATACCATATCAAAATGACTTAAGCTGTAGCCTTCTTTCCACCTCTACCTCGCTTTCCCTCAAACTTCCAGGTTTTACAATTTTCTCAGATGCAGGGGAAACTTAATTCCCATCAGTGCCCAAATTCTTTTTCCTCCAATTCGTCTTCTTTGAAACTGCGTTTAATTTCATCCGAGGCTATAGATGAACTCATTTTTCTTCCCATGAAAACCAAATAGGCCTACGTGTGTCGGGGAAGATTGTATGATCTCATGTTGCATCCCCTTATTTCTCTATGTCTTTTCTGTATTTTCGGAAATGGGGAAGGGGCATGTGCCCCAGTATCTACGTCAATGGGGTGAAATAAAACATAAAGTGTTGCTTTAATCAAAGCTTTAATTTAACCAATAGCTTACAAACGGATGGAAGGGGAGGATTCAGCCCAATGATGAAATTCAACGGTTGCAAAATAGTAATAACAACACAAAGACTTGCCAATTTGCCAAGTCATTATTATAAGTCTCACTTCGGCCATTAGGTACTCAAGCAATTCAATTTATAGACCTCATCATAGATATAGATATATTTTAATGTAGCAAATATGGTCACAAGAGGTTTAGACATTTTCCGAAATTATTTTACCCGCCTGGTTTGGTTTTATGGTTTGTTTTATCAGAATGCTAAGTAAGCATGCGTGTGTCTTACAATTAGCAGCCAGGAGACCAACGGCTTTAAGTCCTCTCCAAGGGGCTTTGTCATTTGGATCAATGCCTTGCAAAAAGGTACGAGCTCATCGACTTGGTTTCGAACCCCGTTACGAGACCACCAATCTACCGCGGAGCCATCGCGTTTCTTCAGCTAATCCAGCATAATTATAATTGTATTTTGTACCATTTACTTTATTTTATTGTTTTTGCTTTATTCCGTTTAGTGATTTTGTTTCTAATTATGTTAATTATTTGTAAATATTGTGATTTCTTTGATTTACCAATAGAAACACAAATTAAAAAAATTAACAAAATAATCGTACGTTTGTTATGCTGTATGTGTGGCAAATGATTTTTTTTTTATATAGAGGGGCTACGTCACTATAGCTGCTGATAGAATTACTATTTAAGGTAGTCACCCGAAGAACATTCACGACAACTGATAATTATGGTCAAATTATATGGATGGAAAGATTTTCTCTTGAAAAGCACGAATAATTTGCTGAAAAAGTTCAAGTTCAAGTTCAAGTCATTTTCCGGCTGTTTCTCAATTTATAAAGCATCAATTAACATACATGTACTATCAATTTATGCGAAGTACAAAATCGGGAACAAATACAACACACAATAGAATATGAGTACAGACTGGTTTGGGCTTTGGTATAGAAACATAAGTACACACAAATTACAACCATAGACGAACCAGAGATCACTACTGGTGATATCGTTATACGGTTATAGGCAGATTACAAGAGTTTAAATAGATATGCAATACATCAACATAATTTATCATTAATGACTGATTCTGTAACTAATAATTAATAATCAACAATTACCACTTGCACCTGTCATTGTCTAGTGTCATGGCACGTATGAGAAATGAACCATAGACGAACCAGAGATCACTACTGGTGATATCGTTATACGGTTATAGGTAGATTACAAGAGTTTAAATAGATATGCAATACATCAACATAATTTATCATTAATGACTGATTCTGTAACTAATAATTAATAATCAACAATTACCACTTGCACCTGTCATTGTCTAGTGTCATGGCACGTATGAGAAATGACCCCCTAAATCTATTTGTTTTGACTTTTGGTAGCCGGACACGTCCTGATTTGTTGAAAAAAATATGTCTATGTAGAGGATGAGTTTCATCCTCAGTGATGTGATTAAACTTATCGATTACAGCTGATTCAGCTATCTCTTCGAGTTGTTTAACCGGTAAGCCAATTGCCTTACTTGCAGTTTTCATTACCCTCATCAGTTTCATTTTATATTGAGAGGTGAGACCAAAGAACCAGACAAGACAGGAGAAGGAGATAATTGGTTTGATGATGCTATCATAGAAGAAGAGAAAAGTCTCCCTTCTGATATTGAATGTTTTCAATTTCCTTAGGAGGTATAACCTTTGGTTAACTTTTGACACAATGGTTTGAGTATTGGTGTTCCAACTGAAATCCTTGTCAATGTGGGTTCCAAGATATTTGTAGTTTGAAACCATCTCAATATCCTTTTGATCAATAGCCAACGGCAAGATGACATTATCCTTTTTCCTGAAATCCACAATCATTTCTTTCGTTTTCTTAATATTAAGGATCAGTGACATTTGTTTACACCACATAACAAAATCGTCCACCTTGGTTCTATACATGTCCTCATTCCTATATGTAATTAAACCAATTATGCAAGTTTCGTCTGCATATTTCATAATTTTCCAACAGGAATTTGTCTGGTTTTCTACTTCACTTGTGAATAATGTAGGCGAGAGGACACAACCTTGCTGAGTACCTGTGTTTAAGATCCTTGTTTGTGAGAGAAAATCCTTACACTTCACTTTCTGGGACCTGTTTGACATGAAGTCACCTATCCAAAGCAACAGGTTTGGGTTAATATTCATGTCCTGATACAGCTTATTAATAAGTATATGGGGCACAACCGTATTGAAAGCAGAGGAGAAATCAACGAATAACACCCTTACATATGTCTTAGGTTTCTCAAGGTGACTTAAAATGGTATGTGACAAAACAGCAACAGCATCATCAACTCCCCTATTCTTTTTATAGGCAGACTGCAGTGGGTCAGTGAATGCCTTTGTTCCTCCATCAAGATACCTTTAACGACACGTTCAAGACATTTCATGATTATTGGTGTTAATGCTATAGGTCGGTAATCATTCAAATCTTTTGGTTTTGATATTTTTGGTACTGGTGAAATAATGGCTGATTTCCAAAGCAATGGGACTGAGTGTATATCCATCGACCACTGAAAAAGCATGTGAAAAACCTCTGACAGCTGCTGATAAAATCAATATAATCATGGAAAGACGTAACATGCTTTGTGGCTAGCTGTGTCTCGCATGTGATGTCACGAATCTTGACGCTCTAAGGAGGACCGCTGAAAGCAGAACATCTGGATCTCAAAATTAACATTTTTAAGAGATGATTACTGCGGGCCCCACACATATTTTGAAGAGGGAAGTTGTTATGTTCGATCAGTAAGGTTCCCCTTCGCAACGATATGAATTTTGCATCAATTCAAAACACTTTTGATTTTCCGGGTGACTACTTTAAGGCCCAATTAAAAAAAAATCATTCAGGTCTTTTGAACAATCTAACTCACCTTGCCCAAGTACAAGGCTCAGCGATGCCAACAGAAGTATAAATACCGAAAAAGTAAACTCCATGATTCCTTCAGCTGCTTGTAACGAATTCCCCCACCACCTCAAAGTACATCAGAAGAAGTGGCTGTCCAGGCTATAGATTCCTATCTAGTACCCGTGACAATGTGCTTTACATGAGAGATGAAGGAGGGGTGTTCCCTAAGGTTCAAATCAGGCAGGTTTCAGCTTTGTTTGATCTTTGATATCGAAGAGATAAAAAGAGATCAGAGTCCTAATTTATTAAAACCTATTTATCCTATTTATAAACAAATCGTGAAGATCCGTCGAAATGACTATATACGCTGGATAAACAATACATAACGTAAAAGGGAAACGGAATTGAAGCTCACATATTTCCATATGGCTCCGTTTAGTCTCATTTCACAACGCCCCCTATCGTCAGAGCATGATCAGAATCAGCAGCCTAACATGTTAGCCTATAGACGTTTTTTTTTTTAAATCGTTAAAAATTCATTTTTTGTTTAAACGCGAAGCATATCCACCCCGACGTACATTATCACTAGCTCTTTCATTGGAGCCCTCATGTCTCATTGACTTTTGAAAGTTCACCCACCGTAATTTTTCAAAATAGGTTGCAAGCTCGTCATTGCCTATAATACACATGTGAAACAAGTCTAACTTTGGACTCAGTTTACCAAGCGATTTAAAGATTATAGGTCGAGCACACGAAACATAAAAAGCATGAATTATCATAGATCACTTCTGCCTATTTCATTATGTCCATTTCATCCAACCCCCCACCGTAATTTGTCCATTTAGTAAAAGCAAACATTTTGCCGAGTTTAGCAAAAACATGAATATTCATGAACGGTCAGACAATACAGCCTTTTAGTACGTAACGTATAGTGAATGGGAATGGGCGATGATCCGTTCAGGAGGTAGAGGTCAGTGGTTTGTGCTGGCAATGTTCACGCGAGCGAAAACGAGACAATCGGAGCAATATGATGTTAATTTGACTAATAAGTATGGCTTTTTCGCGAAAATAGCTTTTCTTGTCCAATATGAATACTTCGTGACGACAACCCGGATCATAATTATTAGGGCTGTCCTCAGCGCCCTTCAAGTGTCCGGTGTCAGTATTCATCGTACGTGTAATGGTCCGGGGTGCGAACTTTTTTTTCCTACGAACTTTTATACCTGGCGCATGCTCACATACAAACTTTTATACTTCACGCATTCAAGAAGGTCACAAACAATTAGACTTTGATTATTTATTGCTTTGCCTCACTATTTATAAAGGCAAAAAACTAAATAAACTGAGATTTGAACCCTCACGGCAACTCCAAGGTTCTATTAGTATCACGCTGTCCTTACCGATTGAGCTAACGATGAGTTGATGAAAGATTGCTTTGTATAATTACTATGACCCTATTGACCGCCCTACCGGATTCCACGTGTGCATGCGCTGGTTTCCTTCGCGAGTGCGCATGCGCAGGTTCCCCTCGCGGGCTCAAAGTTCGTAGGAAAAAAAATTCGCGTCCGGGGTGACTGTCCAGGGTGGATATTCCTGCATGTATTGTGGATGATTGAGTCGATATTCGTTCTACGTTATTTTGTGTGGGGTTCTTGTCGGGGATAGATATTCGTCCTGCATGAAATGTGATTGTCCATGGTTAATATTCGACCTACTTGTAATCGTCCGGGATTACTGCACTAGGCCGATTATCGTCCTACATGATTTGGTGCGGGGTGAGTGTAGAGGATAAATATTTGACCTACATGTAATGTGGTTGTCTATGGCTGTTATATGTCCAAGGTGTAACTGTCCTGGACTACTGCACTGGGTAGACTTTCCTGCATGTAATATGGATGACCGAGGTCAGTTTTCGTCCTGCATGTAATGGTTCGAGTAGTTGGCGTACTGATGGGGGGGGGGGGGGGGGCAATTGACCCCGCAAATAAAATTCAAACGTAGTTTATGTTTATTTCTAATTCGATACCAGTGATTTACAAATGATGCTGAAATGACATGATTTTCCGGGTTTTTTCTCTCATTTTTGCCCATTATGCCAGATGCGGCACTCCGGGGGGGGGGGGGGGGCACTGTGCCACCCACTTTTCAGGTACCCCCTTTTTTACATAGGACAAGTGCCCCTTTTTTCTAATAACTGTCATTTTTCCTCTCTTTTCATCTGTGGTGAGTACGTCTTTTTAGGTGCGAGTCCCCTGTTCACCTTTGATATTTTTGCCCTTTTTTAAACTTTGTCTCGTGCCCCTTTATCTTTTTAATAAGTGTACTTTTCCCTTCTTAAAAAGAATCGCCTTCGCTTTCTCTTAAATGCCACTTTTCAACTCTGACAAGTGCTCCTTTTATTTTGACACGTGCCCCTTTTCCTTTTTAAAAAGTACCATATTTCCTTTGGATAAATGCCCCTTTTCCTTTCTTTATGAGCCCCTCCCCCTTTTAAAAATGCACGTTTTAACATCTGCTAAATGCCTCTATCAAAATTTGATAGGTGCCCTTCTCCTCCGACAGATTCCCCATTTCCATTCTCACAAGTTTCTCTTTTCATTTCTGTTGAGGGTCCTTTTTCAGGTACAAGAAGTGCCATTTTCACCTCTGAAGGCTCTGATCATTGCCCTTTTTTACTTTGACCCGAGCACCTTTTTTTTCTTCAAATAACTGTCCTTTCCCTTTTGATAAGTGCCTACTTTTCCTTCCCCCTTAACATGCACCCCTAATTCAATGCGACTTAGAGCCCCTTTTTCTTTAATTTTCCCTAGAGCTCGTTCGCTGCGCTCGCTCGCATTTATAAAAGAAATTGTCAGTCTTTCTTCATTAGATTGTGCTTAATACCGAAGGTTTTTGGGGGTCTTTTTATAAGATGTAAATTTTTGCAATGGAATCTCAGAAATCTTAAATTTTTTACTCGCTGGTTTTGCTCGCTCGAAAATTAGTATTCATACTATGACACCTAACTGCAAAGTATATTGCTTAATTAAGTATCTATCTTGTACCACGTAAAGAAAGAAACAAATATTGATATCATCCCTGGTGGTGAAATTACAATGATGACGATGTAGGGGTATATACCAATGTCTAAAAATTGTGTAGGTTTTGTTGATGTTTCCCGTTGTAGGTGCCCCTTTTTTCCCCCAGAAAGTGCCCTTTTTTGTTGGTGCCCCCTCCCTATTTTGGAAGACACTCCGCCGCACTTCATTATGCTACTTGGTGGTGATGAGGATTTTGATCTGAGCCCCCAGAAGTTTTTGCTCATTACGCCACTGGTCTAGATAATATGACACGCGTATGCCTACTTTGAACTGAAAGGTGAAACGCATATCGTTCGTTGATCCCGTTTGGCTGCTGGCCTATCTAAGATTTAAGGTTACAAGTCATTTATATTACATCACCCAAAGGGTCTTATTGTCTGTGTGCAAATATGATCTTCTTCCATTACGATTAATTACGATAATCTCTCGCGCTCTCTCTCTCTCTCTCTCTCTCTCTCTCTCTCTCTCTCATTCTCTCTTTCTCTCCTTCTCTCCTTCTCTCTCTCTCTATCTTTCTCTCCTTCTTTCTCTCTCTATCTCTCTTTCTCTCTATCTTCTATGCTTTCTGTTTTAACATCTTTTTTCCTTCTCCCTCTCTCTCTCTCTCTCTCTCTCTCTCTCCTCATCCTTCATGTCCTGTTGTCTCCTATATCTATATCTTTCTCTCCCTATCTTGTTGAATTTGTATAAAGTGAGAAATTCGTTATTTTAACAAAATGAATTAATCCCATTTACTTTTCATATGCAGATGTCCGTGTTGAAAAGAATGAGATCATACAGATACTAAGCAGACAATCACAACATGAGGAACTAATTAAGGAACATTGACAAGAAGAAGCCTTAAAAGAGTTTTGTCATGTAAAGAAACACAGATCACAGACCAAGAAGACAGTGACGAGGGTAATAATGAGGGAGAAGGAAAGGAAGAAATTCACGGGTTTGAAAATAAAAAAATAACGTGTGATTCTCGCTTGGGGTGCGAGAGGTCCCGGGTTCGACTCCCGGACGAGCCCCCAATTTGTCACGGATCATGAACATCGCAAAACCACGACAATCTGATTCGCCACCAAAGACAAGCATTACACATCCCAAAACCGCCACAATAACTCCCAGAACATAACAGTCAGAAGGCAAATGTCTATGTGTCAAGATGTCTACGATCACGAACCCTTTATTAACTAGTCTTGTCTCCAAGCGCACGCAGGCGCGTCACAATAAGACAATAGTCGATAAAAAGATTTATGATACTCTTTTGTAATCAATTTAGGTTTTCAACATACAGATCTAAACACGAGCAATAAGAGGTACAATAAAGTGTTAATAATGTGAACAAATCTAAGGCAAAGCGAACGAAAATAAGAGAATAAAACACCGTGACGATGTATCTACTTAAATGAATAATGTGCTAAATAGAAGTATATTAGAGGAAATGGTGAACCGACATTTGCCGTCTTCCGTCAAAGACATAAAAGATGTCGGGTTAGGGTTAGGGATCAAAATGAATTTTCAAGTTATGATTTAATTTAGGAACTCGGTTAGTGTGAAAAATTGACTGCAGTATAAATGCGTCGTTCGTAAAACAGTAAACTTTGTTTAGTGATATTCCGTCCAGAAGTGCTTGTCAAAGAAGGGGAAAAACGACTTAAGAAAAACTGTACCAGAATGCTTAGTAGTGAAGTGTGATTCTTGCGATATGACAGTGTTTGCAAATCTATTTTCATATTAATATTCCCATTTCACCATAATAATTCATAGAAAACATTAGATTTAGCAAATTGATTTATAGGGCAAATAATGAATACTAAATCAATTCAGAAACACTAGAATGATATTCAAGACTCAGATTATTAAGAACGAAAACGAGAAGAAAAGCGAAGAGCAAGCAAAAAATAAAAGCATTTGATCCGAAAAATATGAGATTAATAAACGGCCCATCCGTTGTTCACAAGACGTCAAATGGCCTGACGTAGAATCGGTTTTTTGAGGCACCCTGTGAGAGTGAAAACAAACAAAACGTGATTGAAAATGAAAGGAGCAAGCAAATCGTTGAATTATCGGCGTATGGGTGCATTGCCTTCATCGGCTTGGTTACCGTATGTAAATGACGCAATCGAAATGACGCATCGTGTTCAACAAGCAAGTACCGTGTCTTAGCGCTTCTGATAGGCGGGGCGAGCTCCTCTCATTTCCATGACGTCATCTTGAGTCGCGCTCAAATCGCAAGCGCTGCTGGCAGCTGCGTCAAGGCATGCGGCGTGACGCACGGCGTGTGCGATGTAGTTCTGCTCGTGAACGCCAGCAAAGATGTGAGACCAAGGTCCCTGAGCGTAAACGGGGACGTCTGCTCCGCCGTGAGTCTCGGCTTCAAGAGGGATGATGGCGTCCTGTTGCCAGGTTCGTGACTCTGTATAGAAATATAAGGAGAAAAGAATCAGAAAATGTTGCTTTATAACTTTCCATCCCATTTTATGACATTGAGTGAGCCTATATTGTTTTTTTTGGGGGGGGGGGGGGGGGAGGGGGTTGTTTAGGAGTTTTGTGTCTCATATCAGGACATCAATTTATCTTGAACGTTAATGAGCAATAGATATCAGGGACCCAACACGACAAACTCCATTTTCTCACTCTGTTATCGTATGTTCATTTTGTCCGTCGTTCTCTATCCAGCTCTCTCCCTTCTCTCTAGTGCTCTCTCTCTCTCTCTCTCTCTCCCCCTCTCTCTCTCTATCTCTCTCTATATATATATCTATCTCTCTCTCTCTCCTATTCTCTCTCTCTTTCTCTCTCTCTCTCCCTCTCTCTCTTTCTCTCTCTCTCTCTCCCTCTCTTTCTCCCTCCCACCACTCCTTCTCTTCCGACTTTACCTGTATCAACACCGCTATAATCTCGTCTATTGCCGTTGTTAGCCCAGTTGGTCTGGACATTGACCCCACCGGGCCCGTTCAGATAGGTCAATGTGGTGTAGGGCAAGCGGTCAGCTGACTCTTGATCATCAACGATACCTATAGTCACATGACAGACAAAATTAGATAGCACTTGATAATTAAGATGGTAGCTAAATTTGAAATCTGGGGCCTATAGTCATGTGCACGCTTTGCTTATAAAAATTGAGGCTCCTCCGTTTTATGCTGCATGCCCGTTCGTATTTACACTTCTCACGAAACACTTTATTTTACATTATACTTCATTTAATATCAACAAGTTCTGTATTTGCTTAGAGATGTCAAGGAGTTCAATATTTATTCTAATGAATTTGTTTGATTGACGCACTCAGCCAGGAAAACAAACACTGCACCCAACGATTTATCCAGCCTTACTCGATACAGCACAGGCGCGGATCCAGGATTTCTTAGGGGAGGGGGCCCAATTTTTTTTTTTTTTGCTCCCGAAAATTTGAAAATCGCGCCGGCCGAAAAGTCGCTCAGTGGGGGGGGGGGGGGGGGGGGAGGGGGGGGGGTACAGAGCACAATTTTTTTTTTTTTTTTTTTTTTTTTTTTTTGCTCCCGAAAATTTGAAAAAAACGCCGGCCAAAAATTCGCTCAGTGGGGGGGGGGGGGGGGGGGGGGGGGGGGGGGTAGTGAGCACATTTTTTTTTTTTGATCCTCAAAAAAATTTCAATTTGCACCCCCCCCTTGAGAGCCAGGGGGGGGGGGCCCAACCCCCAAAAAAGGTAAAAATCACGTGATTTTACATGATTTTTTTCTCAAGGGGGGGGGGGGGGCCCGGGCCCCCAGGCCCCCCCCCTGGATCCGCCACTGATACAGCAACAACCAATGCAAACACTAGCATTTCCATCAACAGAATGTTGATCAATAATGTTATTCAAAAGAAACGTCCGTGAGTATGACACTTTGTATTTACTGCATGAGATAATCTTTTCAGTATTTTTGCTCTTACGCCTAAAGAATCTTGAATTGATAGCTATAGTTTGTCCTGATGTGATACGTTTAGTTTGCCAACAGTCATTGAAATAGGTTGGTATAGTCGGGGAGTTGTAGTGATTCATTACAACTCCCAGGTAAAGTCCACTGCCTGGACTGTTTCCGGGTCAAATAACACACCCTCAACGATAAAACGGAGACAGTCCTTCCATTCTTACCCTTTTTCTTTTTTCGACGGTTTATTTTCGTGGAGAGTGGAGACCATAGAATACACCGCGCCGTGTGGGATGCATGTAAGGGATGGGGGGGGGGGGGGAGGGGGGGGGGGGGGGGGGGCAAAGAAGATTGAAGAACTAAAAAATAATAAAAAACGGACGGACTCTGGACAAGGTTGGTATCAGTATGCATGGTTATAACGCAGAAAAACACAAAAGCCTAACAAATTACCGAGGATGGGGTTATCCTTGCTGGGGTATCCCATGATGCCCATGGTGTGGGCGTGGTCGGATGTGACGACAATAAGCGTGGAATCGGGATCGGTCATCTGTGTTGCCATGTCTACAGCGTCAGCTAGCTCAATGGTCTCGGCTAAGGCATCGTTAGCTCGTCCCGCGTGGTGACTGAAGTCTATCAAGGCACCTAAAACAGATGTGAAATTAAAGGAAGATGTTTTCTTGATATTTCACCCGGTATTATCTTGATCTCAGGGTCAATTTCCTCTATGAAGCGGTGGATTTTTTTTTTTTTAATGTAGGTGTACGGGCGTATGATGAGAATATCATGGAATGATATGAAATTAAAAACATAGATATCTTATGTGGCAGGGATTCAATGGATATTTATATAACGCCGGTATCCGCCAGGCTCTGACGCTCATGACGCTGTACATTATTATAATCACAAATATATCACTTTCTTAACTAAAGTAAAGGTAAACTAAAACAAACACAAATTATTACGCCACAATTTTAATTGTCATAATCAAATAGCACTGGTAAAAGAAAGAGAGATAACAAATACTTTGGTAACATCAAAGGAAATCAGTGTCTCTCGAAAGATGTGTTGGAAGGTAATAAGTAGAATGGTCTACATCTAGAGGGATGCCAAGAATCAACTAGTAGGATTACCCGGAGTAGAATGACACTGCAAGAATGAACTAGATTGGCAGAAAACAAAGATGTGTTGAAATTTTTTGAAAACAGAAAAAATGTTGTAATCAACCCCCGTTAATAGATTTCCAAAGTCGTTGGAACTGATGATCACTAACTCCATGGTGTGACTGCTTTTTACAGATGATGTAGTAGCGTGTGATTGATTGGAAGTTCTTCCTTCAAAGGAGCCATGGGCAACGAGCGTGATGATCGCTGCACGTCAGTAGATTGTGATGATTACGCTGATCGAGTTCCATCCAATCACAAAGGCCACATCCAATATGTTTATTTCATATCAGCCAATCAACTTCTACCGAGTAACCTTGATTGTCATTGGCTAACGTAAAGTGATTACGGTTGATAGTGGCTTGTGATTGGTCGTCTCTGATGCACAAAAAAACTAACTTACTTTCAACCACGAGAAAGAATCCATCTTCATCTCTCCCCAAGACTTTGATGGCTTTCTCAGTCATTTCTGCCAGGGAAGGTTCCCCTGCTCCGTCGGCTGCGCGATCGGCTCCGTACTGCATGCGACCGGGTTCAAACAAACCTGTATTTAAAAGCGTTAATGTAAAACGTGAAGATACTTGCATGGTATGAGCTAACATTTGACATTAATTAGTACTTTTGTTAGAATGACTAAACCTTGTTCTGCGTTTTTCCTTCTTCCTAATCGTGATGATGATGATCATCATTGCACCCCCCCCCTCCCATAAACGTTTCATGTCTTTTTCTAAATGCTTCTGGGGGGGGGGGCATCTTTCGCCTCTAGCGTTGATTTTTCAATCACATATCCAGTAGGCCTACTTCCTACTTCATGGATTCATGAGATTAAATTTGCAATTAAAAAAAGGTATAGCACAATTTTGGAAGTTGACGGTTGCGAACTTAAGGCGCGATATCTCAGTGGTAGCGTAGTGGTCTCGTAACCGGGAGAGCCTGGGTTCGAATCAAATCGAGTTCAAGTACCCTATCCTCATTGTAAAATCCCTCGGAGAGAAGTTAAATCCATTGGTCCCCTAGTTGCTAACTTAAAAGCGTATTCATGCTTTCTTAGCATTCAGTAAGAAAAACCATCAAACCTGATTTGACTAGGGCCTATAGAATAAACAAAGTGTCTTTTATGTTAAAATAAGTTGGTGTCAAACGTTAAACGAAGTACTAAAAGATTCAAATATGTGATTCGATTTGGTTGACGGAACTCGATTTAAAAAAAAATGTTTTACTTTAAGAATTAATCGCAACTTTTGTTTAACAGTTAACACACTCACATACCTAGTAGATAGTCGGTTGTGGTAGGCTCAACGTTGTCAAAATCTTCCTTGTTCCACACGTAGTGCGAGCTGGAGGCTTCTTTCTCTCCTTGCCACTGACCTATCAGATTGTTCCCATCCTCACGTCGGCCTGTGACGTCATAATACTCAGGATCCTCGACGCGAGTTGGAAGAAATTCCTGTCTCCCGCCACCGAGGATGACCTTTAGAAAGAGTGTTTGTGAGAAGGAGAGAAAGGCAGATAAATATATAGAGAGAGAAAGAGAGAGAGAGAGAGAGGGGGAGAGAGAGGGAGAGAGAGAGAGAGAGAGAGAGAGAGAGAGAGAGAGAGAGAGATAGAGAGAGGGTATAGAGCATTGAAGAAAACACAGACAAAATATTACAGATTGATTATGCAAGCTGTCTGCCTATATATTGATTTATATACCAAACAATCTGTAAATCTATTCATCGATCCGTTCATCTATCGGACCATCCATGATTAATCATGGCTCTATCATTCCACTAATCGAATTATACATCCATTAATCAATTAGTAAATTGATCTATCAATATTCATCCAACCATCCACCAACCATGCTCAAATACAAGAATCTACTAGCAACGGCATCTGTCAGATACATAATCAATCAATCAACCACTTCTCATTAAATAAAATCAATCAATCAATCGATCCATCCATTATTCAATGTATCAATTAATCAATCAACCAACCAATTAATCAATCGATCAAACTCACATTGATGAAGTCGTTTTCCATGATCAATTGATAAGCCAAGTCATTGCACTCTTCCTGCTTTCGAGGTATATCTGCGTCGCTCTGCCAATCCCTCTCCGGTGAATGAGCGTAGAGGGCAGCAACCGTGGCTCCTGTGACGCTGTCAGAGGTGACGAAGCCAGTAGCTTTTCCTGAAGATAAAGAAGAAAAAAATACAATTGTATTCGTCATTGATAGAAAGAGAAACCATTTAAATAATCATTTACTGCATTTTTTTATTAGCATTTCGCAAAATTAATGGTAAACGGTATATTTTGTAATCCGTAGGAAAGTGTCTGGACAAGGAATGAAAGGTGCAACACAAATGGCAGGTGAAAGAGTTGCATGGCGTGCTCTCGTGAAGACCACATCAGCGCTTTACAGCGCCACCTGAAGTTGATGATGATGATGAGGGTTGTTTCGTTATAGTGCTAGTGTTACGAACGGAATGTTGCCAAGCCAATTGGTAACTATTCCATCATCGACTTCATCACCCTCCCCCTTCGGAAAAAAAGACAACCACTACCACCAAGAAAGCAAGCAATCAAACAAATACAAACAAGCTAACAAAAAATATGATACCTTCGGCATGTGCAAGATGTAGGTTGGAGGCGACTTCGTTGCCGGTAGCCGATGCACAATCACCTCGTTTAGCGTCATCGTCGAGTCCCAACACTCCGTCCTTGGTCTTCACGCCGCCGAAGATAGCCGTTGAGGTGCTTGCAGAGTCGGCTGCTTGGGCGTCGGTAGAATACGTCTATGAAGAGTAAGACAACAAAAAAAGAGCAGCCGCAGAAAACCATTATTTTCCTTATTTTCAATGATCTCTTTCGCCAAAAGTATTTAGTACTCATATTATTAAATTCATTTTTATAACCCTTTTTTCCCTTCATTTTACAGGGGGAATAGCCGACCCAATCGAATGGTGAAAAAAGGAAGAAAAAGTGAGAAAGAGAGAGAGAGAGAGAGAGAGAAAGAGAGAGAGTGAGGGGGAGAGATAAATAGAGAGAGAAAGAGAGAGAGAGAGAGAGAGAGGGAGAGAGAAAGGGTGAGAGAGAAAGAAAGAAAGAAAGAAAGAGAGCACGATCGAACTACCTTTGCAAAATCAACCGAAGGCGAGATCGATAAAAGGGTGCGTCACATATTGAAATATGCAAACATGACAATGACGTATTAATTAAACCCAGTATCTATGGGATGTACAGCACGATTTTCAAAATGTCCTTAGGTTGTTTTTTCGGAAATAGTTGCGACCGTGTTAAAGACATATATATAAAGAGAGAGAGACAGAGAGAGAGAGAGAGAGACAGAGACAGAAGGGGAAAGAACTATGAAAGAATTAAAGAGGAAAGACTCCCTTCATACCCACACCTTCCCTCTGATCGGTAGCCATTTCAACTCGCATTTCATCCACACAGTCACATCGATGGACCCCCCCCCCCCCCCCCCCCCCCCAGTATGCAAGTGCCCCATCATATATATCCGATCCTACACTACGCCATTCAATTTTCAATTTCAATTTATTTATGATTCCAACAAAACATTACCAATCAATTATAAACATTTACAATAAATGTAGAAATACTTGCTTGTACAAGTGTGAACACCTCAAAAGATACTTCGGAATAATGAGTAATTAGATTAACAAGTCCGTAACTACAAAAAGAATTACAAAATAGGGGAAAAGGAGGATGTCAACAAAGATGAGAGCAGGAAAAGACAGTACTCTCCATGACAAAGATAGAAGAACACTGTCATAATACAAAAAGTAGACAATGCCAACAAAGAAGTGAGAGATCGGGGGTACAGAAAACAATACAGAATGATGAGCTGTATGTGGGGTTGAGAAGAAGAGAAATGCGCATTAGAAAGTATATAAGCATGAGAGGGCACAATATAATATATCATATTACATTGGGTGGTGATGATGAGACCGGACCCCTCCCCTGTAAATAACCAAAACAGTCCTCATTCATATTCACGATTAACTAAATAAAAATATGATTTTCGTTCAAACCTTTACGAGACCGCCATGGGGAAAGGCATCCCAAGCGAGGACGTTGCTGACCCCCTCAACGCCTGCCTGTTGCCCCTGTCGTATCCTGGAGGAGACCACGGTGGACACGTCCATGCCATCGCCGACGAAGACGATGACGTTCTTGGCCGGTTTGGTGTTGACCTCGAGCCCGAGAGCTTGTTCGATGCTGGAACGGGCTTGCGAGTTCCAGAAGTCCGGAGCTGAAATTGTTTCGAGAGCTATGGCGTGATTTTGTTTTGTATTTGCGTTGTCCTTATATTTTACTGTCAAATTTCCATTTCCAGAAATTCATAAAATCATACGAATTCATTCATTATGTGTGACTGTAGTCTAGTGGATAAAATGTCCGGACTGTAGATCAGAAGTTACGGGATTCGATTCCCTATCACAGCACTAACGTCCTTTGGCAAGATGGCAAGACATTAATCGACTTTAATGTATTAAGTAGACCCCGGGGAAATAATGACGTTTTAACATAAAAGCATACAGTACTTGACGAGAAGGGAATGGCATTGTCATTAGCTGATATGATTTACGTTTATTTAAACATATTTGTGGCTTACACCCAATGAATAAGATCGATTGATCGATCTGTATTAAAAAACAAGTCAGACAAATTTTGGAACCAGCGGGACTTGAACCTGCATCTACTGCTTGCCGGATAGTAGATAATTTATATTGTTATTTAAATGTTCAAAACATGCCATTGGTTTTCGGTCGAAATCGTGCCCACTATACACCTTTGCTTTGAACATCAAAAACGTAAATCAATAAATAAAGGCATTTGCACAGGTATGAACAAGATATAATACCCATGAAATAATAGTAAAACATTTCGGAAATGCAAAGGAGAATAATGTCAATTTTAAAGAGGAATAACAGATTTTTTCGGCCACCGGGATAACTCCGACTTTGCGACCTCTCGTAGCTTTTAGGGTGATCTAATCAAATTAAACTTTTTATTTGTCACAAAGTGTGGGGCGCAGTATCTGAATAACTGCAAAGTTTCATATTCTTTTGGCATGTTTGGCGTCGTGATGTACTGCCATTATCAAAGATCAGTGTCGTACTCAGCATATCTCTTTGTAGAAGAGCAATTATTTGCTGAATTTTGCTCTTTTTTTTAAAGGAACCCTCCTCTGTTTGAAGGCCTCATGAACAGTCATAGGTGAAGATTACAGTCCATTGTTTTGTTATCAATCATCCGAGCTTTTAAACATATATAAGTACTTTGCATAAGCGATAACTTGGACAAACACTCACCAAGCTATATCTGCAATAATTATGTCAATTCTGTTAATATGATATATTCACTTTGAAATCACATAGTACAATTATGTAGATAAATTGATGCTATTAACCGCGGTCCTGTGCAAATCCCCTCTTATTTATTTCTCTAAAATACTATAATAATGTTTTTTTTTAAACATTGCAAGGAGGTGGTAACAACCCCCCTCCCCCTTTTCTATTCAGAACTGCTGCTCTCACTACTGTCGCAAAATTATATTCACATCTTTCTCCTAAAAAGACCCTTTTAAAACTTTTTATTTTTAGTTCCTTTGTTCGAGCAACCGCAACTTCATATTCGGGTAGCGAGATGCCCTAATATCCTTATATTCAGACTCTGAGATGCCAGAATATATATTAATGTTGTAATGTTCACTACAAAAAGTGAGAACAATTTGTGAGCTCGGCTCGCTCGCGAGTTGTTTTACTAGAAAATTAAGGCGTCGATATTTGGGCAAAAAAAGCGTCGGCCCCCGCCCCAACCCACCCCTTCCTCTAGAAAATGTGCCCATACGCCTATGGCGTTGAGTAGAATGATTCGAAAATTATAGAAAGGCCTGCATTTTCCAATAAGCCTTTTGCAATTGCCGGTATTATTTTTAACTAAAGCGCTATTAAACAAGTTTTATTCACTATTCTTTTTTTTTCATACTTTGTGAGAAATTTGCGTTTGTGATTTTAAGATCCAAACTCATAGAAATTTCTGTTATCCATCTACTGCGTGTTTGCAAAGTTAGGGCGCTTAAATGTTGATATTTGTAAGCCTTTGCGTTTTTAATGTGACTGTTCTCTTATGCAAACGACACCGACATAAAGCAAAATGGAATATCATACATAATTGCTGCTTACTTATGATATATTGAGAAAAGGTATTTTCTGAAACAAAAATCGGGCCGTTTCAATTCTAATAATACCAAAATTCCGAAAAAAATTGGAAGGGGACACCCCTCGGTCGCTCTGTTTCATTGCAAAAAAATCCTCCTCCACTCAACCCCTTGAAACTGCAACCAACTGTTACTCAATTTACGAAAATAAGCAGGATACACAAAATGGTAAATGGTGACATATTTTCCACATATTATAGCAGTTTTATTAACTGGAGTAAAAATTGTCAACAATTTTATTTTTTCAAATGAACTGAATTCTATATACTTACATTGGCCCTGTATAGGTACGTACATACAAACCGCTATTATTAGCAAAATCTTCATTCTGTTGCCTTTATTTCTTCCCACTTCACCAAACCTGTCTTCAGTAGAATCCAAAAGGATTGTTTGCGGTCCAAGCGTATAAAGTCGGCGCTCAAATTGAAGGAAAAAAACGTTTGCGGGGGGTAAGTTATGATATTAATTTGCAATCTATGGCGGACTTTGGTATTTGGTCTAAATTTCATTAGCATTTGAACAAAAGAATAGAAAGGTAAATTATCCGAGCTGAGGTTTACAATGGAAAACTTATCGATGGATGTAAACAAAAGATATTCTTGAAAGCACTTGTGAGAAGATTAGAATCGTGCGTGATAAATAAAGATGAAGAGAATTTAATGTCTACCCCCCAATTATGCTCGAGTATTTTCACCTATCTTGCAGAATTTCAGTTCAATAAGTCAAGGATATTGTTTTATTTTATCCCAGAGACTAGGACCAGAAAGAGAAAGGGGGTCGGGGAGTGAGTGGGGGTCGGGAGTGTATGATAGATATGTGGGAAGAAGATTACATGGCGGATGACGAGAGATACAGAGAAACGTAGAGACAGAAAAAGAGAGAGAGAGAGAGAGAGAGAGAGAGAGAGAGAGAGAGAGAGAGAGAGAGAGAGAGAGAGAGAGAGAGAGAGAGAGAGAGAAGGGGTTGTCAACAGCAAGTAAATATAGTAAGCCTAGTATTTGCACGTCACAACGCCATTAACTAATTTTGGTTAGGTCACCATGCAATGAATTGGGATATAATTAGTCATTTACTGTAGTCATGGCAACCAGCTGCTCATGACCTGAGCAAACACTTAAATCAGGGTCCCTTTAATGAACAAGCAGAGAAACTCAATGATTCAGTCATAACTGATTACACACCCATAACCTTCGTTTCATTCACGCTATATATAGTATATTCATCTAATATTAACCCTAAATGGAAAAAAATGAAGCCTTCGAAACGCGTTCGAAATAGTATTTGGTCAATTAAATGTATATCGACCCGTTTCTGCCCTCGTCAAATAGCTGTTATTTGTAGTGGTTTATGTTTACATGTTACGTAATGGTTTAGAACATCGATTTGTTGAATCATCCTCGTATTGACAGTATTCGAATCCCCCTTTGACTCGGAGGAAATGCATTTTATGTCAAGTATGTAATTTGATGTCAACATTTTCGGGGGCTACTCCTATCGTTATGGACGACAATATTAATGCTTGTTGGTGATCAGAATAGTTACAATAAATAGTAATATCTTTGTACCGCGCGCAGAAAGAGAGAGGAAGGGTGGGAGGAGGGAGGAGAGAGAGAGAGAGAGAGAGAGAGAGAGAGGGGGGGGGGGTTATAGTCAGACCCAATTATAATTCTCTCTAATTAAAGACGCAGTTAAGATTCTATCACTGTGTTTGACCATTGGCTCCGGAATATTAGCAAAGGTGGATCAAGGATTTTTTTTTTCCACTTCCCAATAAACAAAATCACGTGAAAATCACGTCAATATCAAGGTATCGACTTGAGGAGAGTTACGTTCTTCAAACACCGTACATTTACGTAAATGTGTTAATACGTTTATTGCACTAGGTAACTTAAAACACACGTACACTAAATCACGCAATTGTCACTGCAATATCACCATTATAATAACGTGATTATCCCTACCTTTGAGACATGGTTTGTAAACCTAATACTCCCGTGTTTGTTTGGTTATAAAATTACATCTTCATACACGAAATTATCGCGTCACAGAAACACGTGAAGCGTTAATGATAGTTTTAGTCAAAATATCTGCGTGAAATTCACGTGAATATTACGAGGCTGACTTGAGATGAATCATGTTCTTCATTCACGTGAAATTTACGTCGAAGAGGAAGTATGTTACTGTAACCCGCGTTCAACCCAATAATTACGCGAATGTTACACAATAAATGAACCAAAATAATGACGTTCTCATCCTGTTTCTGAACATCGTGTCTTGGATCTTCCATAATTACGTCCAGGCGCGCCGGAAGCAGTTTGGGATTAGAGGGGGTTGGGTGGAGGGGGGGGGGTGCAAACATCCCAGAAGAGAAAGCTAGTTGCAACTGGTCCAGTTGATGAACCATTTTTAATGCCAACTGGTAACCCTGGAAATTGAAATGGGCTAAATGATCCAGTTGATCCAGGCCAGTTATAATTCAACTGGTCTAGCTGAGCCATTAGAACCATTTGGTAAAACTTCCAACCAGTTGAACAGCAACAATACTTCAATACTGGTACGTCTGTATTTCCAATGTAAGGGCATTGTTAATAAGTAGACTTACATAATTGAATTAATCGAGAAAAAAATTCGTATACTTGTACTTTATTGAAATTATTTTAGTTCACAGTTAATGTTTCCCTTATTCATGTTTAACTATTTATACGAAGTAGCGAAATGTCCTAATAACTGGTAATTTATATTTGTAGTATTTTCGAAATGAATTGCATATAACTAAATCATCAGTAATTAAGAAATATGCTGTAAATTCAGATAAATTGTTTAAAAAACATAGATCTGCACGCACCCCATATTCAATATGCAAATAAATTGGTGTCAGCTGGGTCAACTCGAAATATGCCAACGCTCAGTCATCAACTGGTGCAACTGGAAATGTGCACACTCCAGTTATCAACTGGTGCAATGAAAATATGCCAACAGTCAGTTATCAACTGGTGAACATAGAAATATGCCAACAGTCACGGGATTATCACCACGGAACTTAAATAGTAACTGTGAAACCATCAAGACACCCAAGAATAACTCATTTTCACACATGGAAAACACGGAATACCCAGCTTATATTAATAATCCGTTTGAGTCACGCGATCATCACCGCGGAACTGCTGGCAACTTTGACTACGATTTAAATAGGTGTTTTAAAACACCTAATCATGACTAATTTTTCACGCCTAAAAGTCACGTATGCCCAGCTTAGATTAATAATCCGTTTGAGTCACGAGATCATCACCGCGGAACTAATGGCAACTTTGACTTCCATTTAAATAGGTGTTTTAATACACCTAATAATGACTAATTTTTCACACCTAAATATCACGGATTCACAGCTTAGATTAGTAATCAGTTTTAACTACGTGATCATCACCAAGAAAGTTATGGTAACTTTGAAACCATTGAAATAGGTGTTTTAAGACACCTAATAATGACTAATTTTTCACTCCTAAAAGTCACGTATGACAAACTTAGATCAATAATCCGTTTGAGTCACGAGATCATCACCGCGGAACTTATGGCAACTTTGACTACCATTTTAAAAAGGTGTTTTAAAACACTTAATAATTACTAATTTTCACACCTACATATCACGTTTTCACAGCTTAGATTAGTAATCAGCTTGAGCCACGTGATCATAACCAAGAAATTTATGGTAACTTTGAAACCTTTTAAAGAGGTGTGTAAGACACCTCAGAATTACTAGTTGAATATAACCAGAGATTCACGGACAGAACAATAAGACGATTAGCCGGTGTAAGTAACGTGATTATTACCATCAACCTTGGATAACCTGTGAAACCAATCAATAAAGGTGCTTACAAGACCAAATAATTACGTATTTATCGCCACCATCGGTTAACTGACAAAAAACTCGTTGCTTGGTCAAGTGGTTATTTGGTCATAAACACTTGATTTACAGAGGTAAGTGGAATCACGTTACTCCAGTCGCGTGATAAACTGGTGGTTTTTAGGTTAGATGAAAACGTGAACAGGAGTACCTTTTTTGTTTAAATGAAGGCACGTGTCGATAACGTTTAAATCTAGTACAAAAGGCACTATACTTTAAAATCACTTAAAATACTCTCCCAAAAGAGGTTACTTTTTGGTGTTCTGTTTATTGGGTTGACATCACTCTCTTAACAGAGTAATAATAATAATAATAATAATAATAATAATATTGAGTTTTTATATAGCGCAAATTACAATTAAGTCTCTAAGCGCTGTGGAAATAGAAAAAAAATCAAGAAGTGAGTACAGAAGAATTGAAATAATCAGAACATAAAAGCATGATACATATCCAAACTGAAAAATACATGTACAATACATTGTATTTAATAAAGAATGATACGAAACTACGTTTGAAAAACGTAAGACATTAACATAAATCTTACATAGATCAAGAGAAGAATATTCTTTGATATTACTAGGAAGTTTGTTCCAAAGTTGAGTGACTGGATGTTGAAAAGCTACCCATATGATATTGTAGATACCGTAAGGGGGACAAACAACTGTTTGGAACTAGAACGAAGCTGCGTAATTAGATGATACTCATTGAGAAGCTGTTGTAAGTAGAGAGGAGCCAATTTAAAGTAGACCTCTTTATTGAAGGCGGCCGGAAATTACTGAAAGGAAAACTAGGCCACCATTTATTGTTCTCATCAAGTTACTAGAACACTTGCAGGGAGTATCAATTTTGTTTGTAAAGGATGGGTGCCGAAAATTCCAAACAAGGAAATAGCAAAATGTTTTGTAGGGGCGGCTCCAGGTTTTGCGTGAGGGGTGAATAGGTGGGGGTGCGGCATTGGAAACGATCTGTCCTTCAGGGGCGTTTCCATGGGCAATATATACTGACGATATCTTACGAGCAAGGAATTGAGTTCGTGAATGCTAGATTGTGTTTAAACGGGTAATATATTGGCCAATCAAATTTGCTGGTAGCCCTACAAGGAATTGATTGCTGAGATTTGAAAACAATTTCAATTTCCATTTAAAGTCCATGAAAATGTTTCCCAAATGAGAATGTGATTTCACATAATTTAGCTTTAAGTTTCGTTCGAATAAGTTTGTCATGATGGTTAAAAATCATTATTAAATTGGACAGGAGCTTGTTTAAACCGAAGGATCGAAATCGGGACATGTATGTATACAGATACTGTCTTTTATGGTGTGTCAGCGAGCTAATTTCTAAGCATGTGAAGCATTCAATATCATTTTGAGATGGAATTATTCTTGCGATTAGTTTTTATGGAAATACAACAGAACGAATAAAGCCTAACAATCCTAGATAGGTCTTACCATGGCTAGTAACTCCATGGTCCTACTATGGCTGCATCTTTTGAGAGCCAGAAAGGAGTAAAATATGTATTAAGTTAGATGAGTTTACTCCCTTCTGGCTCTCATCGGAGCCTAGGGCGTGGATTGCCCCCCCCCCCCAATTGCCCCCTCCCCCTCTCAAGAATTAAACAAATACCAATATTCGGGCCATCTCTCTGATCTTCTTTTCTTGTATCTATCTTTATCATTACAAAATCATTTTGAAATGCTGAAATGGGAAACATAACCCATGAACAATAATTAATGTCATTACAACTAATATGCCTACAATGTTTTACTCTATCCCTGCAGTCGATTGCAAACAAAAAGAATTAAATTGGAAATTATATACATGCAAGGGAAGCCCCCTCCCCGTGCAGTCCTATAATGGCGAAATCAATGAAATGAATTTCTCTTAATCGTAACTGACGTAGCACGTATTTGATTTCATACGTCATCGTATAAATAGAAAGCTGACCATGAACCTATTTATAAGCGAATATCGGTGATAGGCGTCAATTGGATTTTCATAATTACCGAAAGAGATTTAAAATCTGCTTTCAATTTACTTTTACAATGTATCGGCAGGGGTTCTACAATACCAAAATTGTGCCAATATTTTAATGGGCTAGCTATCACATCCCAGGAGTTAGCATGTACCCCCCCCCCCCCCCACTCTCTCTCTCTCTCTCTCTCTCTCTCTCTCTCTCTCTCAAATTTTCCCTTTTCTCTGTTTGTTTGTTTGTCTGTTCTTTTAAGAACATCTATTTAATAAATATCTCGAACAGGAAATAAATATCACGTATTAAAAGTGACTCCCCCACTCTCTCTCTCTCTCTCTCTCTCTCTCTCTCTCTCTGTCTGTCTCTCAAATTTTCCCTTTTCTCTGTTTGTTTGTTTGTCTGTCTTCTATCTTCTTTTTTTTTCCTCTCTCTCTCTCTCTCTCTCTCTCTCCCTCTCTTAGCTCCTCCCCTCATCATTCTCTCTTCCTCTCTTTATCTTTGTCATTCTCTCTTTCTCTGGCTCAGTAACTTTTTCCCTTTCATCAGAAATTGAGCAAGAGAAGAAAAAAAACTAACAAACACAAAACAAAACAAACTAACCCACGTCGTAAAACACGAACCACTTATTCTTTTAAGAACATCTATTTAATAAATATCTCGAACAGGAAATAAATATCACGTATTAAAAGTGACTCCCCCACTCTCTCTCTCTCTCTCTCTCTCTCTCTGTCTGTCTCTCAAATTTTCCCTTTTCTCTGTTTGTTTGTTTGTCTGTCTTCTATCTACTTTTTTTTTCTCTCTCTCTCTCTCTCTCTCTCTCTCCCTCTCTTAGCTCCTCCCCTCATCATTCTCTCTTCCTCTCTTTATCTTTGCCATTCTCTCTTTCTCTGGCTCAGTAACTTTTTCCCTTTCATCCTTCCTTTTCTCCCTCTCTGTTTTATAGTTTTCTTGCCCCTTTTCTTGAATTGTCGTAATCCTGCGCTGGAAAAGGTACCCAAATCTCTTCAATTTTTAAAGCTATATAATGGCTAAAATCAAATGCTTCGATATTTCAATCGAGAAATTGAGCAAGAGAAGAAAAAAAACTAACAAACACAAAACAAAACAAACTAACCCACGTCGTAAAACACGAACCACTTATTCTTTTAAGAACATCTATTTAATAAATATCTCGAACAGGAAATAAATATCACGTATTAAAAGTGACTGGTAAAAAAGCGGGTGAAAAGCGGGTCAATGAATTTCAGTACTCGTACGTCAAGGCATGAATGTAATTAGATTGGGATTTGGGATTGTCAACATCATTTTCTCTATATTGATGCGTTGCGGCACCCAGATTAATTAGTCAATTATCCACCTCAGCCTAGTTACACGGTGAATTGAATTTATACAAAAGCGTAGAGTCTGTGCTGTTACGTACGTATAGCCTGGGCCCCGCCTTGTTAAAGAGTTTCGATTTATTACATATAATTTACAATGGATAACCAATCGCATCTCCTATCACTTGAGTAGGTCTACCTAGTTGCAATTTGTGTCAATCGTAAATTATTTTTAATCAATCCAAACGCTTTTTAATAAGACGAAGCTCTGGCCCATTATTGATGAAAGATACCTTTGCTAATAAGTAATATTACGTTGAAAGTTAAATATATAAATTCGCTCGCTGCACCCGATCCCGCCAAAAAAAAAAATGGAAAGTTGATATCGGTTAAGAAACGTAAGCCTAATTGGGAAGTTGCTCGTAAACATCCTTGTTTACAGCAAAGATGACCCAGAAGTGGTGAAAAATCGAAGTACACTATAAATTCCTGTTTTACATTGTTGCCCATACTAACATTTTCCCTTTTTATGAAATGATTGTTCCAATTATGACTTACTATTGATAGATAGATAAAGTTTCTATCTTCTGAGAATCGTATTCATCAATCTCTATGACTCCATAGATTGATCGATACTTGAGAAGATAGAAACTCTATAAGTCAAGAATAAATCATATTGTCACAACCTTTTCAAAAAAAGAGGTAAGAAAACAAATTATATTCCCAGTTTATGGGCAACAGAGTATGATCACTACTACCAGCATCTCATTCCAGGATGTGAAAAAAGGATGGTTATGTCCTTTGCTAAATATAATCTTAGACCCAAGATTGCGTTTGGTCATTGGTAGACTTCGGACAATGGGGTCGCTGCCCCCCCCCCCCACCCATATTTAAAAATGGGCTACGCTACTGCTTTATACTTCAACACAATTTGTTGTGCTTTGTATTCTTCGGATCACATTGCCATACCAAGGTTTAGCAAATCATATCTGGAATATTGCGATATTTGAAAAATAAAAGAGAAATACATAAATGTTGAACACAAAATATACATACGTAGCTATAAACTGTACATACTATTTTAGTCAGTAAACTTTTGAGTGACCAAATCTGATACTTGTTTGAAAATGTAAGGCTTACAGGTCGGCAAAGTTTTCAAACTTCCCATTTACAATGGTCTAGGGGCTCCCTTGCTCATGGCCACACATAAATCAGGGGTGGATGCAAAGTATTGAAATGGGGGCGGGCACCATTAAAAAGTTATACATGTATGAAAAGGTTTATCACACTTATCTATTACAGTGCCTTTTGGGTCACATGATTTTTTAAGGGCCCAAAAATATTATTAGATACAATTTTTGTCATTTGCACGGTTGGATTTCTAAAGGGGCAACAGCTGTTTGTGCCCCTCCCCTTCCCCATGTCGATGAATCCTACCGCTGCGACGATATGAAATTGTTGATTTGTTACTATACATAGGTTGGCTGTGTACCAGTAATAAAATAGATGATGTACGTGATGTTACAGGGGCTAGCAAATCCCCTAATCATTGACACTCAGTGCTATATTTAATTTTCTTCTCCATTCCATATAAATATAAACAAATTAGTAACATGGCAAAAATAAAATACCAAGAAGTACTTTCTTACTATTAATGATAAATAAGGAAATATATACATGTATTACAATTATCATATGAACAAAGGATAAATTGTCAATTTTTCATATTTCAGCAATTTTATCATATCAAATTATCATATTCTATTATTGTCTCTTCTAACCCTGATATATAGACGAGCCCAACAAATTGAGCTTCAATATAGACCGCGTAAAATATTAGCCTACTCTAAACTGAATGGTCAAGTATTCAAGCTCTAGAATACCATGAGCAGGGTGCTGACATGGGCCGGGAGCCAATGCAGACAATTCGTCGCTGTTTTCACGAAGTGACGGTAGTGAGGAAAATTGTAACACAAAGTGAATGCAATTTTTTTCTTCACTACCGTCACTTCGTGAAAGCAGCGACGAATTATTGCTTCAGCAGAGGAGTGACATGTTTAGCCATGTTTGCAGGCTATCACTGATGGGCCATGCATCTAAATGAGTTTCGCTTGTATATGACAGACATACCTCAGACACACCGCTAAACCGACTCCAAAACGACTCTATAAGCGACCGTTTTGTAGGCCATTTGTGGTAATGTAATCTTTGGTTCTGTCTGGTGTCGGTTTAGTTGGTGTGACGGAGGCATCAAGATCTAAAACACTATGCAATGGCGGATACGTCGAGGTGATACGGCCATTTTGACGAGCCATGAATCAAAGTTAGCTTTGCTGCCTGCTTTTGCACTTTTTGAAGTAGATGCATGGATCAGATATGAACCTACCCCATCACTTCATTTGGTCTCTATATATTTTTCGTGATGCTATGATTGCTTCTCAGCGAGTACATGCGATTGTTGAACACCCACAAACGCCATTAAAAATTGTTTTTCCTCATCACACGGATCACGGATGGTTTTTCCCATTGCTGATCGACATTCGTTGTAGAGGTATTTGATTATTTCGTGGGGCTGTGGTTCCTTTTCAGCGAGTACATGCGATTGTTTGACATTGGCTGATGATAAGGGAAGTAGAGATGGAAGGTTTTCGTCATCAATCATGCCGATGGCGATGGTCCATCCGATTCTTGCCATGAGGTGTAGAGGAGGATGAACCCGAAGGCGATCTCCACCAACCTGTGGTCGAAGAAAACAAAGAAGCTCGGTTAGAACGTAGAGGGCGGGGCATAGAGATGGTGTACTTTGCATGCGCATACCTTTGTCAGCTGTAAGGAGCATGATAGGAAGACGAGAAGAGGAGGAGGAGGTGGAGGAGGAGGAGGAGGAGGAATAGGAAGAGGAGACGAAAAGTTACTGCACATTAGATGATTGATTCACAACAAAATTATTTCAAATTTATCCTTTTTTTAAATAAATCTCAACCATACAGTTACATGTATATCTCGAACACGTACATTATACACACAAAATACGAACATGTGATTCGACGCTGTTCTGGGCCTACTGTCAATGTTAATCATGTTTATTTATATACTTCTTTTATATTGATAATGAACTGCTCTGTCCCATATTTCCCTAAGATTATCAAGGCCTTTACTTACCTTTGCATAGTTTGGTACATAATCCAGCCCACCTTGTTGAAGTTGTAACCCGCAGCAGGGATAATCACCCCAACCAAGGAAACAGCGAAACAAATCAATCCTGTAATACTAGCCGAGACACAAATCCTCTTTAGTTTCCTCAAATGGTCTTTGAATTTCTTCTTCACGGCAGGATCTTCGACTCGCATGTTGTTCGGAATCGACGATGACGGGTTGCCGTTTTCGAGCCTGGGTTCGTGGTCGCCCGGAGTGTCCGCTTTACTACCCTGTCCCGGCTGACGAGTTTTAGCGCGACCATCGAGACGGTTATACACAGCACGAGTCCCCAGACGAGTGTGAGAACGTGACAGAGTGTGAGCAGCCAGCAGCCTGCCACCTCTAAGATGATGAGGATGTCGATGACGATGACGAAAGCGAAGTGGAACACCACGATGCCCCAGAGTACGTGCGGGCTCTGTTTGTTGAGACGCTGAACTTTGCAGAGCTGGAACAGCGCGTATTGGATGAGGGCGAAAGCCGACGTCAGGCATGGGATGGCGATGTCTTCAAGGGCCTGCATGAACCACGTCGGGAAGTACATGCGGACGTTGTAGGGGTCGACGGCTAGGTAGATGTAGCGTAACGTGGCCATGATGACGAGGAGGATGTTGACAGAGAGGACGAGAGGGCGTGCCTTGATCTGGACGAGGCGGTAGAGAAAGAAGGCGGCTGTAACAGCGAGGAGGTTGAATATTGTACCGAGAATGTAGCAGTGGGCGAGGAGCACTGGGCTGAACTCGGTTGCGCTGAACGGCGCCGGGTGGGTGCACATTTGGACAGACGTCTGAAATGTCGAGATAAAAAGATATTACAATCATTAAAAATGCGAATAATTCATCTTACTGTTGTATACAGTGAGGATTAATTGAGAGAGACGGTAATTAGATCGAAATGCGAAAACAAATAAACTAAGTGAGAGATATATAAAAAGAAAAGAAAAGTAAGAAATAAAGTCACTATCATTACGGAGAGACAGAATATTCAAGACAAAGAGAGTTTGAAATAGAGGGAGGGTGGGAGGAGAAGGGGGAGGGGGACGGGACAGGGAAGAGGACGTAGGAAGATCGAGGTAGGAGAGAAGGAAGAGGAGGGGGAAGGGAGAAACGAGAGAGGGAGAGAAAGAGAGAGATTGAGACACGTGGTAGATATCTCTGAGCAATGCAGCAAAGTTGTGGAAGCAATTCTGCAAATAATTATCACTCACCACCACTATTGCTATCGTCACCACCACCACCACCACCAGCATCACTAAGACGACTATACCACTACCACCATCATCCTCACCACCGCCAGCATCGTCTACACATCATCACCACTGCCACCAACATCACCACCAACAGCAGCAGCATCGCCAAACATCACCACCCTTCACCACTAGAACCACTACCACCATCAACACCAACCCCACCAAAATTACCATCATTATAACCACCACCAATGACTACCACCAATACCACCACCCTTATCACCACCAACATCACCATCATTACCAAACCATCAACACTACCACCATCGTCTTCTTTATCACCTTCACCACCACCACCATCGTCAACACAACCACCACCATCATCATCATCATCATCATCATTATCATCACCAGCAGCATCATTATCATCATCATCATCATCATCATCATCATCATCATCATCATCATCAGTACCGGTACTTACATGATCACTACCGTTCATCGTGCCGTTTGTGTTTGTATCCATTATTGACAAAGTTGGAGCCATGGCGTTCGTCCAAATTCACAGTGACAGCGCTTTAATCTGAAAATGATTAAGAAGAAGAAGAAGAAGAAAACCTTGTAAGCTGCCGGTCAGTCTAATATCATATAGCCTCGCGTATCGTGGATGTATTATCGCGATGAATAAACTACACATGCACGTAACGTTTCAATTCCATTGTAAAATTCATCAATACAATGACAGATTCTGTCTGCATTATTTTTGTGGAAATGGGGAATAAGACATGAAATACCGTCCCTTCACAATGCTTATCCTTTTCAATACTCCAGGATTTTTTAAATACTTTTAACAGGGGAGGAAATCGAATAATAGACCGGCCCTTGGTTTTTCTTATCCTTGTCAAAATTTAGAAGAATGGTTTGTGTATTCGGAAAAATAGACACAAACACTGTATTAAAACAAACTTGCTGAAAACTACAAACTCCTTTTATATCTGTAAATATTCCTGTAAAGTCCTAGCGAAGAGCTGAAAACATTAAAATATCACGGTTAATCAATGATATCAGTCAAACACTATGAAAATCAAAACTGTGCCAAACATAAAGTGCGTATCCGCATGTCAAACTTACTGTAGCTACAGCCGAAAAATGAAGAGCGTGTTTGCAGATTATGATATTCCGTTAAAGTTCGACAATTCAATAAACGATATGTTTAAGAGTACATGACTGTATATCAATCGCATTAAAGAAGCGTTGCAATTAGAATCCCACAAGAGGAGGAGGAAAATGGCCGCGTTTCGCATGTGGACGTGATTTGCGTCGAGAGCAGTTTTGAGCAGAATTTTATCACCGGTGACGAATATGTGTGACTTATATAAACGGTAAATTCTATCAATTTCAACTCTTCTGTGATACTGTGTTAAACTTATAGTCAATATTACGAGCAGATTTATGCGTAATCATGGAGAATAACTCGCCACTCAGTAAGAAACTAAAGTTGAACAATGAGCACGCGGACTCAGCAGTTCCTCACCAGGCTTCCCCGGCAACCGCCGGGAACGTTACAGTGTGCGACCCCCAGCGAAACGGAACATTCTCTCATCAGTTTCCCACTCTACCCCAGCGGCAGTAGCCGACCTATCAATGAACAAGCCACCACAATGGTTCGTACAATTCTTTGCTGATTTTGAGAATAGACAAGAGGCTCGTATTGAGTCACTTCTCGACAAAAAACTGGGTGACCTTACTTTTAAAGTCGCAGATCATGAAGAGAAGATCAAATGTCTGTCTTTTGAAGTTGATAATATGAAAGATGCTGTACAGGCCTTGCAAATAGAGAATGGAAAGCTGGAAAGCAAGTTAGACGATCTTGAAAATCGTTCTAGAAGAAATAATCTCGTAGTCTTTGGGATCCAGGAATCAGATAACAAGGAAGACTGCAGGAAGGTGATTCAAGATTTCATGCGTTTTGCAGAGGTGCCTGAGGATGTTATCAAGGATATTCAACGATGTCACCGTACACCATCATTTCGGCCCCAGGTAAAGGAGAATTCTCAACAATATCCCAGGAGGATCCACTTAGGTTTTGGCGCCTACACTGCGAAAGAGAGGGCCCGAAAAGCCTGCATTAAGAAGCTTAAGGCTACTACATCATTATACCAAGACCACAAGGTTTTCGTTGCGGAGGATCTCTCGCAACGTGTTCTCCAACTCAGAAAAGCTAAGGCTGGTTCATTCAAGCGTCTCAAGGAAGAGGGCAAAAGGCCTTTTTTCGTTTTTCCGGACAAGTTATGTCATAGGAATCCAGATGGAAAGATGATCATCGCTTAACTTTCTGCTGTCCTCCTTTTATGGGATAATATCATTCATGTGACATTCCAGTTTCATCCCTGATTATTATGTTTGTTTTATGACGTTCTGCTGAAGAATTCCTATATAGGTCTATGGAGATACACGTAGGTGTGAATTAATTGCTTCTGGCTATTTCACCGTGGAGTCTACAGCACTCAACATTTTTTATTCATCACATTATTTGAAAGTTTCTTACTTTGTTTGGAGAATATACATCCGTACGTTCATGTCATCTGTACAAAAGAACTTGCATTAACAAGCTAGTTGACAGTAACTTGGATGTTATTGACAGATGTCTAACTCTCCTTTATTTGGTGAGGGTGAACTTTTAAACATATAAGAGTGTAATTTAAGTTTATTTTACAAGATGTGGAGTTTAAGTGGCCCTGGTCAGTTACAATTTACAACAGTATAAAAGTTCTGTGCCATTTTCATTTTGTCTGTAATTCTTACTGTTTCTCCCTCTGACTCCAACAACACAAGACATTTTTTGTTATATGTTTGCAGAATGCTCTTTTCCTAGTTAGATTTGGAGTTCGAAAAGTCACTTTACCCTTTTTTCTGCTCAGAACTGTTCTGCATGCCTTTGCACTTTTGGTTTGGGCTGTTTTATGATTTGAAGCCTTTGCCGTTCGTTCTCGTGCAACCTTTTTCTCTTTTTTATTGTCTTAATCTTGTCGTTTTGATGATGCTTACATCTACATGTATGTCAATTACTTTTTTAATTTCAAATGATCATGCAGCAATCAGTATTTTGCAGCTTTGTTACATAGGACTGGTTTTTATGACCACAATTTTTATTTCAGTGTTATCTTCATCTACAAGTGTAGTGATTTGGTGTGTATTTATGTGTATATACCATGAATGTTAGGTTAGCTACTTTTAATTGTCGGGGTATACAAGATCATGTCAAAAGAAGAAAAATTTTTCATTACTTAAGATCAATTAATAGTGACATAATATTTTTACAAGAAACTCACTCTTCTAAATCAGATGAACAATTTTGGAAACAACAATGGGGTGAAAAAGCATGGTTTTCTAGCCACGCTTCAAATAGTAGAGGTGTAGCCATTTTGATTCGAAATCGGGTGTCATTGGTCCTTAACTCTTCTTTTATTGACCCCGATGGGAGATACCTGATTTTATCTGTTACCATTAATGAGGTACCTGTGATTTTAGTTAATCTCTATGGTCCAAATAATGATGACCCCAATTTTTTTCTTGAAGTTTTCAGTAAAGTGGATAAACTCGATTACACCTCCATTCTATGCGCTGGGGATTTTAATGCTGTTTTGGGGCCCATGGATTATCAAGGGGGTAGGGACACCCACTCAAATTTCAAATCAAAGGAAATGTTAATAACACTTATGGATGAATTTAATCTTTGTGACATTTGGCGCAGTTTTCATCCAAACCTGAAGCAATATACGAGACATCAAAAAAAACCTAGAGTGTTATCCAGGATTGATTTCATTCTTGTTTCTGATAATTTTGTTACCAATTGTTTGCAATCTAAAATAATCCCAGGAATCCAATCCGACCATTCCCTTGTTACATTAAATTTTAAAGGTGCTCAACCACTAAGGGGCCGAGGATTTTGGAAACTGAATTGCAAATATTTACATAATGATGCAGACTTTAGTAGAATTATCATTGACAAAATAGAAGATTTTAAATTAATTCATTCCAAAAGCGATTGCAATCCAAATATTTTATGGGACTCTTTAAAGTGCACCATTACTGGCATTTGTATAGAATATTGTACACGTAAAAAGAAGGAAAAGGATTTTGCAAAAAAATACCTTTTGGCGGAAATAGAAGATATAGAGAAAAAATTAAGTGCTGATTTAAATAACAATGAGCTTATTAATGAAAAGGATTTTTTAACCCAGGCTTTAAATGATATTTTAGATGTGGAAACCAAAGGTTTAATTATTCGCTCACGACTTCGATGGGCTGAAGAAGGAGAAAAAAGCTCCAAATATTTTTGTAATTTAGAAAAAAGAACTGGAGAGAAGAAAAGTATTTTCAAATTAAAGAATGAAGATGATGATATTATTGTTAATCAACACGCTATACTGGAGGAAATTAATTCATTTTATCAAACCCTTTACACAAAACACTGTGGTGACAATAATTCAGATAATGAAATGGAGGACTTTTTAGACTCTATTGAATTCCCTCAATTAAATGAAGTTGATAAGGTTCTTCTTGATAAACCCATCTCTAAAAAGGAATTATTTGATACAATTGCTTCAATGAAACATAACAAGTCACCAGGTTTGGATGGATTACCTGTAGAATTTTATATTGTGTTTTGGAAAGATATTTCTGATATGCTTATAGACTCATTTAAATTCTCCTTACAGAATGGACTAATGTCTAGCTCACAAAGAAACGGAGTTATTACCTTGATTCCAAAAAAAGACAGGGATGCCTCCTACTTAAAAAATTTCAGACCTATATCCCTGTTAACAGTAGATTACAAAATTTTAGCCAAAACTTTAGCAAACCGTGTAAAAAAAATCCTTTCAGATTTGATTCATCCAGACCAATCTGGTTTTTTAAAAGGAAGGAATATTGGAAACAATGTGAGATTAATTATTGATATAATTGAATATACAGAATCAGAACAAATTCCTGGTGCAATCCTTCTCCTTGATATTCAAAAAGCTTTTGATAGTGTTTCCCATGATTTCCTATGTTGTGTACTAAGAAAATTCAATTTCAGTAATGAATTCATTGATTGGATAAAAGTATTTTACTCCGGTAGGAAAAGTTATGTATCTAACTATGGTAATTTGACCAGACCACTTAATATGGAAAGAGGTATTTTCCAAGGGTGTCCCATATCCCCATATTTATTTTTGCTAGTTATTGAATCTATGGCTCTTGCTATTCGACAAAATCCTAATATTCAAGGTATCCCAGTTGCAGAAAATGAACTGAAAATTTCTTTGTTAGCAGATGATTCTACGTGCTTTATTGATGGCTCAGATAACTCTTTTAAATCATTATTCGACACTATTGGGTTTTTTTCTGAGAGCTCTGGCTGTAAACTTAATATTTCAAAATCAGAGGCAATATGGATTGGTTCTTTGAAGGGTTGTCAAAGGTATCCATTTTGTGAGAAAGGTCTGAAGTGGAATAAATTTACTTTTAAGACTTTAGGCATTCACTTTTCTTTGACCACAGATCATTTATATGACCTTAACCATAAGATAAAACTCAAATCCATTGAAAACACCCTAAATTGTTGGCGCGCAAGAAATTTATCTCTGGTCGGGAAGATCTGTGTCGTAAAGACCCTATTGCTGCCACAAGTTCTTTATTTTTTTTCTGTGTTGTGTATTAAAATACCTAAGAAATTTTTTAGACAGTTAAATACAATACTGTATAAATTTATATGGAATGGTGGCAGTGATAGGGTCAAAAGAAGGCTCATGTGTAATGATTACTCTTTGGGTGGTTTAAAAATGATAGATCCATACACATTCTCTATTGCTCAAAAAATGTCATGGGTCAAAATGCTTCTTGATGATAAATATCAAAGCGTGTGGAAGTCCATTGAAATGTCTATTTTAAATAATTTCAGTAGCAGAGAGGATATACTATGGAAAGCATATGCTCCTCAAAGTATATTAAACAAATTAGGTTCATGTCAATTAGCTGAATCCCTTCAAACATGGTATATATTTAGAGAAAATTTTGCTAAAACTGAGTTCGGTACAGTCTTTTCCGCAATTGGCTCTTGTCAGTGTATTTGGTTTAACAGAAATATCTGTTCAAAATCAAAACATTATTTTTTATATGAAGATTGGTTGGACAAAGGAATTGTCTATATCAGTGATTTACTCAACCCTCCCCACCCAGGTAATAAACTTTTTGAAGAGCTTATTCTGGATTATGATATTGGTAAAAAAGACAGGCGGAAATACAATTTTTTATTGAGAAATATACCAAATGACTTGCTAGTCACTTCTGACTTAACCCCTGACAAAATATTTGATGACGTTAAAACTAAGCTCTTGAAAACTCTAAAAATTCCAAAATATGCATACAGTACAATGCTAGAGTCATGTTCTCCAGAACGTCAAATCTTATTTTGGAATGACCTCCAAGAACCTGACGAAGTTGATTGGGAAAAGACTCATGTGAATAACTTTAAATGCACTATAAGTACTCGTATTCGCTCTTTCTACTTTAAGTTATTTCATAGAGCTATAGGTTTGAATGAGTTTTTGTATAAAATTAAAAGGAAGGTCTCCCCCAATTGTTCATTTTGTAATACTGACCCTGAGACATATAGTCACATTTTTGTTGAATGTCCTAATGTTAAGCCTATTTGGGAGGAAACTGTTAAAGCTATTATTCAGAAAACTAATAAACCTCTAAATGTCTCAACATTTGAAAAAATGTTCGGTTGCGAATCTGATAGGTTCCTTACATATTTGTTTCTTTTACTTAAATATTATATTTATATATGCAAATTCCAAAGCAAACCACCAAACTTCGAAGGTTATAAATGCTATATTACGGCCAATAAAGAACTCGAGTATTGTATTGCCAAAAAAAATAACAAACTCCCTATTCATTTTCGGAAATGGAGATTTAACATTTGAATATGTTACCTTTGAGCTCCTTTGCAAATTGTATTTTTGCTTTTAACATGCTTTAAAAAAAAAAAAAATACCCTGTACAATGTACTATGTACCATGTTTGTTATATAAGTAACGCGGAAAACACCTAACATGTCTTTTTTTATGAATGAAAATCATTTTGTCTTATTCTTCTGGCGACAATTCTATGTTAACATTTTTGTATTGCTGCTTTTTTTTTTTTTTTTTTTTTTTTTTTTTTTTTTTTTTTTTTTTTTTTTTTCAAATTGATTTCTTTGATTCATGTGTTGATTTGTATCTTGAAAACCAATAAAACACATAAAAAAAAAAAAAAAAAAAAAAAAAAAAAGAATCCCACAAGAGAGCTTAATTTTCCTTTGGCATGCTTTGCCCTCTCTCTCAGGGAAATGAAATGCGCGGGCTGTCTGAAACAATTATGTCGAAAATGAAATAGACATAGTTTCAGGATTACGACTTGCATCGTGTTGCCTTCATTAATTGTATTTGCGCACCGTCCTGCAGTTTGACCAATCACGCGCCAGAAAATGAGCAAATCGTTTCACATAGTCTGTTGTTGGATGATGTCGAAATCACCGCTCCCAATAAACCAACAAGCCCCCAAAATTTATTGGAGCAATTTTATTTTTCATTTACTTCCTTTTAAGCAAGTGTATTTATTGTTGCGAAATACGAAAGGCAAAAGGATGAAAAACATTCTAGCTGTAGGAAATTATATATTTTTTTACTTCCTCTACATTTATTCAGATCATTAATTATGTCAGCCCATTAGGTTTTATTCTTCTTAGGTCAAACTAGGGTCCATGGTCAAACGATCGAGCCTATTAAAAGTGCGAACTAAATAGTTTTCTATTCATCCCGTCGACATGACGTTTTCAGTAATGTAACCGCACCGATCTTTCTATATATAATACGAATATATTGAATGATTTATAGATATGGTAAATCATAACTCCTCTGTCAAACAGTTTACCCAAAAAAAATTAAAAAAATATGATATTCTGTTATTCTTATTATGACCGCTCTATAGAAAAAGCAAAATATGTTCTTGTCTGCTTTTATATCTGTGGCTCAAATCAAGATCAGTATGTGGCGTAGTTGTTCTGAAATCCACGGGAAATATGTGAAATTTGCTCTTAAAATTTAGCACACGTATATGAACTTTTTTTCCCCTTCCTTAGGTTTCTCCAGCTCAGTGTATTTAATTAATTTTCGTGTCATTGAATATAGATATCCCGATACTATTCGCTTTATTTGAGTTTCCTCATATTAAGTTAGGCCAACACCCTTTGTATTGTAAGCAAACACTGTTTCCAATTAATATCAGACATTTTCTGTCTGAGAATCACGCTGCTTGTTGTCAGCTATCTGAAAACCGTATGGGCAATGGAACTTTCTTACAATGAGGGTTTTTATAGTAATACCAAGGAAGTGGAAATCGAGAGAAATAACGGTTCTCAAGTCAAATCGTTTCTATCACTGTCTTGAAAGATAAATCCCGTAGAATCTTGCTGGGGTATGGTAAGAGGGTAAGAGAGAGAGAGAGAGAGAGAGAGAGAGAGAGAGAGAGAGACAGAGAGAGAGATAGAAAATATCGTATACGGAGAAAGATTGATACAGATGGAGAGGTAGAGAGAGAGAAAGAGAAAGAGAAAAGAGAGAGAAAGAGAGAGAGAGAGAGAAAGAGAGAGAGAGAGAGAGAGAGGAGAGAGAGAGATAGAGAGAAAAAGAGAGACAAAGAGAGAGAGAGAGAGACAAAGAGAGACAGGTAGAGAGACAGGGAGAGAGACAGGGAGAGAGACAGAGAGAGAGAGAGAGAGAGAGAGAGAGAGAGAGACACGCACAGAGAGAGAGAGATAACTTGACGACCGAACCATCAAAGGGTAATCACCTCTCCAAACCCTTCATCCATAATAAAAATGCTGGAAAATTTTCCTTTGTTAACTTGTTGATAGTTGAGAGGAAAGGAAATTGTTCCATTGTACAAACCTGTGGTGAGGACGATAACTGTTTAATACCACCACCCCCCCCCCCCCCCCTCGCGTGTTTCATCACTGATTTGAGATGAGTAATATTCATCGTCCTATTTATGGTAACGGTAAGTCTGTATGGCTATCTAAAGAAGGACTTGTACTAGCTTGTTTAAAGAGAAGGTTGAGTTCTTGGAAGAGGTGAAAATTACTTTGTGAGCGTTATCATTGTTCTTATGCAAGGGTGGAAGAACATCAGATAAAACATGTTCCCTGAAAAGTATGGCTCTTCAAATGCCTTCATATAGTCTAAATATGGCATGTAACATCGTAAAAATCGGGACGGATTTTTACGCCACGTGTTCGTGTCGTCCCATGTACATCCTTCTGTGTACAGTGCTTGTAACTTTACCAAGACTTGGCCAAATTTCTTATCATTTTGATGATTCTAGAACCTTGCCATACACACACATACTTATATGCCAGATGATCAACCTTTTCTGATCGATTCCACACCGTTTCTTTCACAATGCAATCGCATGACAAGAACTCACTTTTATCTTTAATAGTATACACCGTTTGCCCTGTCTCACCTCCCTGGTAAACTCAATAAAGATATGCAACACTTCTAAAAGTTACAAGTGGACAAACCTAATATAACATCTGCATTATTTACAGTTCTGAGTTTTTAGAATATCTCAATTATTAAATCTACTATATACAGATAAACAACTGATTCCATTATGCATTTCATCAGTCTGCGAGAACAACGGCGAGTTTATCATTATCGTCCATTATGCTGTTTTAACCATGTGGTTATAGTCAAACTAAAATATCCCATTGTAGAACAAAAAAGTGAGAGGTACTATAATGACACAACAATTACTTTATATTATATTTACACTGAAATAGAAAAGTAATCGAACACACAATATATTTAAAACGTGTGAAACAGACAATTATTCTTTGATCATCTAAGCTAAAGTTATCTTTCACATAAAGTTTGTTCTTGACTTTCTATCCCAACTGTGAGTGTTTTATTGCGAAAACATGATAAGAAAATAAAAGATTGGTAATGTTTAGATCTCCAGTGTTTTTTTTACTCCATTTTGTTAGCAAGCAATGTCTATCTCATCTAAAAAGCTACAGACGCGTCAGCAATCAGAAAAATAATAAATTACTCAAACTGATATCAAACTGTTTGAAATAAATTACCTCGATCTTTATCGCTTCCTCCTCCAGTGTGTGTTGCTTAATCCGAATGTTAAATCAAGGAAATCGATGATTCCAACTTCGCTTGACTGGTGCTCTCCGCACCGTGAATACAATTTTATGAGTGTTACTTTGTAGGCGTGCGTGAGAATGTGAAATTAGCGGCAAGGAAAATGAAAGCATATACGTCATAGTTATTATTATCAATATTTGGGGAAAGTCCCACTTTTGAGCCTAGCCACCTCAATGTGGTCATTCTCATTGTTGGTCGCACTCCGGAACGAAATCGAGAACAAAAATTCGGTCTGTGGCCTTGATTTTTCTTAACAATTGGGGAAAAAACGATTCAAGTTTCAAATTTTTGTTTTGAGAATAGAAAAGAAGAAGTGCAAGGCACTTACAGTCAGAATGTTGAATCATCTTCAACGCTTAAACCTTAGTTTGATTCAAGCTGGAATTCTTAAGATATCAATGGAGAGAGAGAGAGAGAGAGAGAAAGAGAGCGACAGAGAGAGAGAGAGAGAGAGGGGAGCGAAAGAGAGAGAGAGAGAGAGAGAGAGCGAGAGAGAGAAGGGGGGGGGTTGAGTGAGTGAATGAGTGAGTGGGGGGGGGAGGGGGACAGACAGGCGATTGTAGATAAATTAATTATGAATTGCACGAGAAGGAATATACAAAATAAATTTGTTTGCGAAATATCATATCCAGGAGAAAACCTCTCTAGAGAGAGAGGGGGGGGGGGGGGGGGGGGGGGGGCAGACAGGCGAGTGTAGATGAATTAATTATGAATTACATGAGAAGGAATATATAAATAGAATTAAAACAGGACTGAGAAAAATAGTTCAAATCGGACGGAAAAATAATATAAACCTGTTAAAAGGAAAAACAAAACAGAACAAAATATAACGAGGGAAACTAAAGAGTTGGTATTCATGTATGTCTGTATTCTTATCTTGCTCTTATAATGTATTTGTTCAATATACTGTGTACATGTGCATAACAATTGGAATCATTTTATAACAATTACGACTATATAGGTGCGCCCAATATATATAGGGTTCTCATCATAAATAAAGAACAACGGCAATATAATAACTTCATGCAGATCGACAGCCTTCAATAGGTGGGCTTGTCAAAATATTTCCTCAAGGTAGTCTAAATCAATAGACCGCCCCCGGGTCATGTCGATATATGCGGCTTTTAAAGCCTGAATATCATGACTATTAAGGCTTCGTTTTGATCAAACGAATGCAAAAGGGAAACCCCCTAATTTTGTCAAAATTATGAAATGGCATACCTCTTGGCAATATAATTTAATTTGTCTCATTTTTGTCCTTTGTGTGTGAAGAGGAAGAAGCAATAAAGACAAAAAGGCTCTTGGCAATATATCTGAGCATTTAATTCAAGTAGCAAATTAAAGACTATTGTCTGTACATGCTTACTTAGGTATAGGCATCTCGTATTTAGATTGTGTTTCGTAAAATTATAGAATATGGGAATGTCCCGCTTGCCACCCGGCAAATCTCCCTCCTTCAAGGTTGGCAATCATTTCTACAAAAGAAAACATAACAATGAACATGCCTTCTGATATCATCACTGGCAGCTAGTGACGGGTCCAGGATCGTTTCGTTAGGGGTATAGTATTTCAATACATATGGGGGGGGGGTCGACCTAACCAAAAGGTATTTGTTTGCTTTGGGGGCTTTGAGAAAAAAAATATTTGTTATTTATTTTTGTTTTACTTTTACCGTCGCAACATCTATTATGTAGAGATTAATTCCAAAGCTAAATCCACTTTGGGTATTTCCGAGTAAATCACCATTTTAATTCTACCACTTTTCCTAAAGTAATGTATGTTCATATTTGGATATAAATAAGAGGTGTTTACCCTTGACCAATAATATATGGTATTACAAAATCTACCAAGTCTATTTTTATCTTTGCGGCTGATTCTTCATATATTTAGCTCCTTTTGGAATTAAACATAATTTTTTAGCTATTTTTTAAAAAATATTTCAAGATGACATTTTAGAATGTGATATATAGTGCATTTTATTCACAAGTAGATAATAAGTATTTTTAAGACAAAAAAAATTGATAAAAATGGATTTAGCTCCCTTTGGAATCAAGCTTTTCATATGCCAAAGCAAAACAATGGGGTATCATTGGATCATGGCAGGTGGACAAATAAGTCTTAAGACATCTGACAACTTTCCATTACCCTACAGAGTGAGCTCCCTCATCCCCCCTCCCCCCCCCCCCCCCCCTCCAAAAAAAAAAAAGAAGAAACAAGTATAAAATCCCTTCATCGAGAAAACCAGTATGGATTAAGTAACAGAATACTAATCTCATTGTGGATGTGGTCTAGTGGATAAGTCACCGGACTGTGGATCACATGGTTCGCGATTCGAGTTCCGCCACAGCACTCTTGTCGTTTGGCAAGACATTAATTTACATTTGCCACACTCGACCCAGGTGAGGTAAATGGGTACCTGGCAGGAAATGATTCCTTGAAATGCTAGAGCGCCATAATGGCAGCAATGCTAAAGCTGGGTAAGAACGATATTGTGGAGCACCAGGAGTGTCAAGTCTGAAAGACATGAGCGCTATACAAGAGCCCAACAGTAATATTATTATTATCTTATTAGTACACCTTCGTCAACAAAATTTGGCTGACCATGGAAAAGCTGAATTGGAGTAGTTTTCATAATTCATATCAAAATTCGATGCCTCTACTCCATGAAATGGAAGGTCATGTAGAAGTGTCGTAGTTGAGTGGTTTAAGCACTTGACTTGAAATTCAAAGGTCGTGGTTCGATCCCCGATACGGCTCTAATGTCCTTTGGTAAGGTATTAATCTTCATTTGCCACACTCGACGCAGGTGAGGTAAACGGGTACCTGGCAGGAATTAATTCCTTGATATGCTGGAGCGCTGTAGGCAGCTAGGCTAAAGCCGGGGTAATAGTTAATGCGCCTCGGAATAGAATTTCTAGATAGACGGCGCTATAGAAATGCCTATAATTATTATCATTATTATGACAACTCAAGGTTGATCTGAATGGTCTCTATTCTAATTGAAAACACTAATGGACGATCGATGGCATTACGCTTGGACACCTTACATCCCAAACCATTGGACAAATGCGATTTCAGGATGTATTTTTTTAAAAGGGCTAGAAATACTCGGTCTTTAACCATGCCCATGGTCACATATTGTAGAACAGACTAGTTAAAATAACGGTGGACATTTTTAAAAACTATGCTATTTTGATAAATTCAGCAATTTTATCTTCTGAAAAACAAAAAAGTTATTTGGGCTAATAAACAGGTTTTTGTTGTGATTATCGACACCGTATATTGATACGTCACGATTCATATTGAATTGTATATAGTTTTAAAAAAGTCCAAATGATGATGGCACCGTATATATCTCAGTATGATAATAAACTATATAGTTCATTTAGAGTTTTTTTTCGCGCAATTTGATACTATAATAAATTATGTGTTCGAGTATCTCACGGAAATGCCATGTGCATTTAACTAAATAGCACTGTACTGGTATCTTTTTATATTTCTTTATTATGTGTTTTTTCTATCCCCCCCCCCCTCCGGTACAAAAGCGTCGTATGTATTTTTCAGGATAAGTTCAAGTTAGGTGGTTTTCGGGTCATGTTTGATTATCATGACTTTTGTTTGCGATTTGGTCTGATTGTCAATTCCTTCTTTCTTTATCGTGAAGTATGGAAAATTGAAAATATAATAAAAAATCATGAACAACTTAATTTCGAGCTACAATTTTGTTGGTGGAAAAGAAAAGCCATCGTTTTGACTTTTTGCCCAATTTTGTCTATAAATTTCTTTTCTATATTAGTTTTGTTCTTTCCTGTCTCAATTTCCGGCTGTCTATCAAAAAAGAAGAACAAGTGCGCTTCCCTATACAGTTAGAATAAAACTGAACTGTATGTAACCATTGTTACGTAATATAGGTGAGTTTAATCAATAGCTCAGAAAATTAATGTCCCGTCTTATGATCTGCATACCAGTATCATGAGGTGGACAATGGGGAGAATTGAAAGTGGAAAACCCGTCCCGATATACAGTTGATATAAAACTAAGCTTTATGTAACCATTATTACGTACACTAGGTCATTTGTACTGAAATAGGTCTATCGAAGTTTCACTTTGGTCAGTACGACCATGCAAAAAAGTTTAATCAAAAGCTCAGGATATCCCGTTTTATGATATGCATACCAGTATCATAACGTGGACAATGGCCGGAGAGAATCGAAAGCGGAAAACCCGTCCCGTCTATTGTTTTGTTTTGTGTTTGTTTGTTTGTTTTTCAGTGCAAAATCACTTAAGGATCATTCTATCGTGAGAAATTACTTGGAAACTTTAGATTCTGAATTATATTTAGACATTCAATACACAATTTTTTTCCCTTCTATCCTCTTTCGAGGGACTTTATTCGTTCATTTTCATAAGATAACAGCTATTGGAAGTGAAAAGCACAGAACACAATGCTGTATATTTGATAAAAGAATTAAAGGTAGAAATTCGCACCTATCTCGATATGAAATGTAATCAAAAGAAATTCGGTACAAACGAGGTAACATAAATATTTACAGTGTTTTAGTTAGTGATTATGTCACATTAGTTTCATGTTTTGTACTATTATGATATATTACAATTGCACGAATTCTATATTCGATCCATAAATTATACTCAAACGTTTAATTACGTAATTACGCAGTGACAAATATTAAGAGAACAAGATAATCGAAAGGAAGGAAGAGAGAGAGAGAGAGAGAGAGAGAGAGAGAGGGGGGGGGGGGGGGGTGAAGAGAGAGATAGAGAGAGAGGGGGGGTGAAGAGAGAGATAGGGAGAGAGATGGGGGAGAGAGAGAGAAAGAGGGGGAGGGAGAGAGATGGAGAGAGAGGGGATGGAGAGGGAGACAAGGATATGGGGAAAGACGAGAAAAAGAAGAAAGTAGCACCCTCTCGTCACCCATGCACCCCCTTCAATTAGTGCAGGGCCTCATTAATACACATATTTTGAATTTGATGGTAATACCGAGCAATCCTTTTCATGGGAATTTGTCTTATAGGCTAATATGATAACCTTCAAAACAAACATACAAAGAACGAGAAAACTGACAAGTTCACGGTTCATTGTTCACCTTTACTGGGATTTTTACTAGAATTTGTGAGCGTGATCATTGTAAGTGTGGAAGGACATCAGAGAAAAATCGTTCACTGAACTCTAAACCGCGCGCATGGTATTATTTTGATTAAAAATGCAAGGATTAAAAATAAAGGAATCCGTCTATTGTAAACAAAATAAGACTCCTTTGTATTTTCAGCTGCATACACCGCGGTATGGTCGGCGTTTCAAGAGGGAACAAAATAATGCCGCCCATGCTATCATTCCGGGATTTTTTTTAATTCGAAAGTGTGGTTTCTTTGATTGTTAATTAATCCCTATCCTGTGTATTTACAAACAAAGGAATTTAGTTACCAGAATCGGTTTCATATCCCTTTTTGAATGGTGTAAAATTCCATCACATTTATATTCACTAAACTCATTATAATTTGAGAAAATAATAGCATTGCAAATGTTCATTCTTTATGGGATGTCCTCTGCTTGGGCAGGATCGGTTCATATTGTGACGGCATTAAAACATCGTTATTCTTCTGGCGAATCTCTAGCATATCCCAAATGCTATGGAGGTGATTTTATTTGTATTTTTAAAATTCACCCGATATGTAGTTGACCTAAAACTTGTACGATGGCCCTCTGTTAGCTTACCAGTTTCTAGTGATACGTCATTTGCCATAATATTTGTGATTTTCTTTGAAAAGGCACTTTTAAGCTGATCTTGAGCTCTGGTATATGAGCATCGTATGTCGAGAGAACTTGGCTATAATTCATTCTGGAATGTTTATCCTGCAGTAGATTGATTGTCTGAACCAGTAAATTAAAAACAACCTCACAAAAAAATTGCTGGAAATGATCTTCAACTCAAAAACCACAGCTCTCATTTGCACAGAGTGACCCGTGTTAAGACGTATCCGGACACCTACCCCCTGGACATCCACCCCCGGATAACCACCACCAGTCAACTGCCCCCGGGACAGCTACCCCCGGACAACTACCCCCTAGGACAACTAACCCCTAAGACAACTACCCCCGGACAACTACCCCTGGAACAACTACCCCGGACAATTACCCCCGGACAACTACCCCCAGACAACTACCCCCTAGGATAGTTTTCCGGCGGGAAGTTGTTCTAGATGATGGTTGTCGTAGGGGGCAGTTTTCTGAGGGGTAGTTGTCCGGGGGTAGTTGTCCTAGGGGTAGTTGTCTTGGGGTAGTTGTCTGGGGGTAGTTGTCCGGGGGTGGTTGTCCCGGGGTAGTCGTCCTAAAGGGTGGTTGCCCTAGGCCTAGGGGTAGTTGTCCTAGGGCCCGGTCCCAGGGGTAGTTGACTGGGGTGGTTATCCGGGGCTGGATGTCCAGGGGGTAGGTGTCCTAGAATAGTGTCGGACTTACCTTGATTTTCTTATCTTTCTATGCTCATTTCTCAGCCCCTAAACATTTTCTACCAAAATCGTTTAACGCATGTCATTTATTTGTAATCTTGAACATTCAGTGTAAGTTTTGTTGTATTCTGTGAGAATTTATTTTCTATCATTACCAAAACGCAAGCTTATCTTTAATGGATATTTTTCTTTTCTTTGTATTTACCCTTCCGCAGGGTTCTTATCAACATATTAATCATTTTCACAACAGATCGATACATGCACTATATACCATGACTTGTCATATAAACATTCAAACAATTACTGGATATTGATATTAAAGCTTGAATGAGAACGACAGGGCCTACGCAAATGCTATTGTGTACGCATTTAAATTCGTGTAATCAGAATTCTGTACTTGAACTCGGATAAAAGTTTCAATACATCGTTAATCACACCATAAAGCGCTTTGACAGGGCCTTCTGTCCTGAAAAGCGCTACATAAGAACTAGCTATTATTATTATTATTATTATTATAAACAATGAAAAAGTACATGTATAGACACGATGTGTAAACATACCCATATAGGGCCACTATCTGCAGAGCATTGCAAGGTCATTAATTCATAAAATATTTAGTGCATGAGAGAGTTTTGCTTTCTATAGCTCTCTACGACCTCAACATAAACATTTCGTCGGCTAATAAAGTGTAGAAGTGAGGTTCATCAGGAATGTAGAAGAACATGCATAGGTTAAAGGTAAAGACCAGTTATGGTCATGCGATTGCATTGTGAAAGAAACGTTGTGGAATCGATCAGAAAAGGTTGATCATCTAGCATCTAGCATCTGCAAGGTTCTGGAATCAGCAAAATGATTAGAAATTTGGCCCATTCTTCGTAAAGTTACAAGCACTATACACAGAAAGATGTAAATGGGACTACCCTATATCTCTCACAGACCATGAGAGAAACAAATTTACCAAATATATGAATTAGTAGGCGGTTTCCCGGCAAATTTTTTATCGTCATGTATTAGTCAAAACATATTCTTTCACATGATTGGTATTGAGAGCTTCCATTTCATTTTTTGAAATTGGGGCGTTTCCAATACTGGTCTTTACCTTTAATTAACAACTAAGTTATTAATACCCTTTAATACCGGTAATCAATTCTATTTTTGTCAAAGAATATAAAATATTAATTTGTCCCAATTTATATATCTTGAGAATAATGCAAAGTTTTGTGGAATTTAGAAAATTGGATGGGTAGTAATTCTTTAATATGTTGATATATTTGGATGTCCCTGTGGATGTATTAAACGCACTAAAAAAATTAACCTCTAACATACTGTTTTCGAGAAATTGTATGATAACAAATTTACCGGTTTTCCTGGTAAATTTCAAATATTTCAAATAGTGCCGAAGGCCATTTCATGGTCGCGGCGACCATGAAAATCTCAGAATATGCAGTTCTGATATATAATTTCCAAAGGGGATATTAAGCAAATCGGTCCCTTGTAGTAAGAAAAACATTGTTTTAAAGCTAAAGTAATATCAGTCTTGAGATGGAGCTATACAACATAAAGAGCTTATAATTTCTGAAATTCCATCACTTTAGACTCAGTTTCAACAGCGACAACCATCACTGAATATTGTAAAATCGCATATGCGTCCAATATGTTCATTTGAACCAAATTCATGACCCCATACCAAAACTTTGTGTTACCTTTAAATCTTACGTCTAAAAAGTATCCGACGAGGGCCCGGCCTTATTCATTCTTGATTCATGCAAATACATAAAAACTATCAAATCTACAACACACCAAGGAATAAAGATGTAATCGGGGTGCAGATTTGCATCCACCTACGCGTATTTGGCAGAGGATGTTGCTATTGTAGTGATCCATACACTACAAGCAGAATTACACCCTTATTTCTTAGTGTGAAGGGGTACAAATAATGTTTGTTGTTAAGTGTATTAACACACCCGGTGGAGCAGAGTGAGTCCATACCATTGAGAGAGCACTGGAATGATATGGGGCAGAGCCATCTTTATACAGAGTTTGGCCAACTTGGTTTTACTGGAAACAACATAGCATATATTCGTTTGTTTTGTGCTTGCCCAACAAAGTAGTAGTCGCAATATTGTGTATAGATATAGTGTATAGATGGCTTTGATAGGGGGCGGGGTGGGGGTACGTCACAGGTCCTACTCGCAGTATGAAGTGCACATTTATAAGGCTACTGATTTGGCGGAGGTTACGGGAAGTGATCTATGCATCTTCTTTTACCACCCCCCCCCCTTTTCTTTTTAACTACATGAACTTTGATTGGGCGGGGGGGGGGGGGGGGTGGGGGGCTCTGGAGTTTTAGTTTCTAGTAAAAACAGGACATTTTGAGGGACATTGTACATGTTTTAAGTATAAGAAAATCCATCTCGTTAATTGTAGTCATATGTACATTGGTAACTTAGTTGGTGATATATGATTGTTTTGGTAAAAAGTTCCTGTATGTTCAATTTCTTGTTGTTCTGTGGCTGTCGATGAACGAATAATAGATACATTATATAGCCAGAAAGGTGTGCACATGCAACACCCTAAGCCCACTCTAAGAAATATAAATAATGTATGTATCTTTCATTGGAAAAATAGAAATTCATGTACATGTACAGTAAAGGACAGGGTGGACTTTCCTGCGTGATAGGTTTTCAAGCCTTTTATTCTCTCTCCCCCCCCCCCCCCCCACCCCTCCTCTCTCTCTCTCTCTCTCTCTTTTTCTCTCTCTCCCTCCCGTTCTTTACCTTTCATTGCCTTCTGTCAAGTCCAGTTGAAATTTCATACCAATAAGAACACAAACAATGAAAATAAATGAGATACACATCTAATTAAACATTACTTCAATTTAATACAATTGCCTCGAAATACTGTAATAAAGAATTCAATGACAACAATTTCAAAGTTCATGATTGTACACAAATGTAGCAAGTACGTTACTCAACTCGAAAACTGACACGGTAAAAGTACCAGACTGTCTTTAAAGATTATGAATCTACAACTAAAACTTCTTGCACACGATTAAAAATGAAAAACAGGAATAAATTAATTAGAAATATTAAAAATCAACGCAATTCAATTGTTTTACATATATATATCGATAAGATGCAAGTGGAAGGTCAACACTAATACATTGGTGAATGTTGTCCGTTTACATTTCTACTCAGCACATCAAATTTTGTCTGTACGTTCCCTTCCATCATACATAGGTTCGTGAAAAGGGAGTGGTATGCAAAATTAATTGAAATGTTCATGACAGACTGAAACAATTATATGAATGTCCATTGTGAATAAGTAAGAATTCTGTCCACTTATTCAACATGTTTTTCCTAATCGCAACATTGTGTGTGTATACTAAATATCTAGAAGTAAAGTGGATTAATTGAAAAATTGAACGCCAGAAGCAGCATGCCTGCAGGTCTATACATACAGACTGAACTCATTTTGTTTCTACATGTACCTTTAATTTAAAGCTCGGCGTTTAAAATGCTCCCTACGGTATTTGCTACAACAAAAAAACAGAAAACCATCATCTAAAAAGTACTCTTAGGCGAAAGAAAACACTTACTGTAAACTACATCTTACAGACTCATCATCACATATTTACATTTCATAGTTTGACATGGGCGGACTGGACTGGTGCAAAATCAAATCTCCAACATTATAACACATCCATCTGTATGTTCAACTTTCAAAAAACTGTTACCCTTCCGTTTGTCTTCCTCATATTCACCCGTGAGGAGGAGCGGGTGTGTTTTTTTTTGCAACTCTTCGATAAGTTTGTTTTTACTTGTGTGATTCCCTGCATTTCTCGTTTCATGATAGACAATATTGTACGCAATTTTAAATTGGAGATTAATATCATCTCCCTCAGAAATGTAAATGAACGTTCAACTCTTGATTAAAACGTCTATGGCTTCTCGTTTGAAGAAAAAAATGTTTAACGTCCCAAAAATTTATCAGGTAGACATCAAAAGCACCTCTACACTCGAGATACTGACAAGTACTATGTAGCATTTAACCAAATCAATACCCCCAAACCAATGCAGCATTACAAACTCATACCTTAGATTTCAGAGACAATTAAGGATAAATATCAAAATATAATAAAAACCTCAATATCCAAAATACTGGACAAAAAGTTGCTCAGAAAGATGGCTAAAATTAACCAAAACTGAAACCAATTTATTTTCTTTGAAAAAGAATACGATTTGTATTAACCTCTAAAGCGCCAGCATCAAAAGAAAAACGTCCCTTTTTAAAACGAAATGTACTTACGTTTTTTTGTATTTAAACATGTAATATTGTAACACTTCTCATCTTACTTTTTCCTGATTTATTGTTCCCCCCCATATTCTTCATATTGGATTCCATTTTAGAATCATATGAATACACGAGTATGAAATCTAACTTGTTAAGAAGAACATGTACGTACAACATCATGATTTTTGACAATTATGAACAAATAGTTAATCCGAGTAGAAAAGGGTTCCCATACAATTTATTAAGGTTGTTTCCAAGAAATTTAATAGAGCAATTTAATTTGCATTGCATTTCAAAATGATAATACATGATGTTCTTTTTTAAAGTGTGTATACGAATAAAATTCAACGTGTAATACCTAATGACATAATCTCAAAACTATATCATGGAAAGCAGTTTAAATGCAAGAAATCCTGTTATGGTAAACAGAGTAGGTGACAGATCTCCAAATTTGAACACTGCATACAATCCGAGTGAATAGATCAACTCTGGTCATCCCCGTTTATGAAGGTGCTGTTTAATTTCAATACTTTAGGTGCTTAACTTCATACTTCTTGGTTTAGTTTTTCTTCCTTTTTTTCTTTGAGTGTCTCCTGCACTCTTTGTGAACCAAAGCAATGTGCTTGGTCCATTAGCCACATATAAACGATAGCCTCTACTTTTACTTTTAATGATCGCTGCTTTTCTCTGCCCTCACGACGACGATAGGCACTAAATTCGACGCCCCCAACAGGAACCCATTGCGGGAATTCCGATAAATTTTTAAATCTGGGCCTGGCTCTAAAATGCCCAAATGCACGAAAAATTTCAAACGATTTCGATGGAGAAAATTCTGAGCTCGGCGCTCTATTTTTTGCTTCTTTTGCTCACTCACCAGGCACACGGTTCTTTACTATACATGTGGCTCCTAGCTTACTCGTTGCCACGTACTTTAATGCTTCAATTTCTGCGTTGTGTATGTATATATGTCCGTCCGTCTGTCTGTGTGTTGGTTTTCAGTGAAATGAATTGCTCTTTTCTGTTAATCTGCGTTGTTATGTCCACCGTAACCCAATGGCCACGCCCTCAGTAGCCATTGTATCCACCTCCACCGCCTCCACGACCACCACGGTAGCCTCCACGTCCACGGTAGCCTCCACGACCTGAAATCAGGAAGAGATGTCACAAATTACTTATAACAACTAAACAATGAATTCAACTACTTATCATGTTGCTACTTGGTCAGGCCCCAAAATATGTATGGACATACAAATACGATGTGAGAGCACCTAAGGAGGAGGCACGATGGCTCAGAAACAGAGCAGTGGTCTTGTTACCAAGTCTACATGCTAGTGGCCTTTGGTAAGACACTACTCCTCATTTCCCAAGTCCCGTCGGAGGGGACTAAAAGCCGTTGGGCCCTAGTTGCCTACTTACAAGCATACACAAGCTTTCTTAGCAGTCGGGTAAAACAACCATCAGTTTCGTATTTTAGTGAAGGCATTGACTCTCATATTTCGATCCTTTCTCTCTACTTACATCCTTGGACAAACTATTTTACCCACTCCATCTCAATTTTACAGGTCTTTTTTTTAAATAAAAAAGCGTGTGAAAGTAGTCACATAAAAGAAACAGTAGCACCTCTATTAGATATGGGCCCTCTTTCATACAACTTTTTCCCAACAACACGTTACTAGAATAAAAGCTACTGAAATCAGGCAATCTGAATGGTTGTGTGCACATTCGTTTAGAAGTCTAACAGTTCTTATTCCTACCAAAGTCTATGAAGCTTCACATAAAACTTATGAACAACTGTATTTTCTCAAAACTCATTTCATCTGCTTCAATCAATCGTAACTTACTAATACTAAATAGAAACTTTCAATTAATATTAGACTGCAAGATTGGAGATAGATTTTTACGATTGATTTGATTGTACATCAATCTTTATGCTACAAGACCCTAGAGGGTGTTTCACAAAGATCCTAAGTTGAACTTATCAGTTATGGAAAGCCATTAACCGGGCATGGTGGCTCAGTTGTTAGAGCGCCCGCCTCATGAACGGGAGGTCGTGGGTTCGAACCCCGGCCGAGTCATACCAAAGACTTATAACAATGGGACCTTCTGCCTTCTAGCTAGGCGCTCAGCATATTAGATTGGAGAAGGGTAGTAATAACATATTATGTTATGCAGGGCCCGCTGGAAGAACAGTTTCATAACTGAAGTGGCTACCCTGGGTAAATAAAAGTTATTAATATTATTAATATTAATATTAATATTAATTAGCATCTTTAAAAATATTTTGTAAAAGTTATTTTAAAAGGCATAAAATCTTGATGTGGAATTTATGAAAAGTCTAAATAATTGAATTTTTGCTTTTGAATATACTTTATTTTAAGGCTACAAATGGCTTTCCACAGTTTTTTAAGTCCAACTTAGAGTTCGGTTCAACTTTGGATCTTTGTGAAACACCCCCCCCCCCCCAGTCATGATACAAAGTTAAAGAGTTACTCACGGCCACGTCCACCACCCCTCTCCCTTGCAAACTCCAGCATCAAGCCGTCTGAACCGTCCAGATTCTCGATGGCTTTCTGAGCAGAGGCCTTGTCTTTGAAGTCAGCATAGGCAAATCTGATGACAAGAGAAAGATACATTGATACCATGAATGACAAATTAAGTTTATTCCAAGAGATGAAGTTGAGTTCAGGGGGCGTTTCACAAAACTTGTCATCAGTGACAAATGACAGTTTTCGTTTTAAGCTACTGATATCCTTGCTTCTGATTGGTTATCAGCAGATTTATCACTGATTTTTGTCATTTGTCATTGAAAAAAGGCTTTGTGAAATGCCCCTCTGGTCATGTGGTCACACTGAAAGAAACTGAAAGAAAGAAAGCTATTGGGAACAGTCAGTCAAATCTGTCTTACATAAGAATCAATGTATACTGTGATGTCTTGGAATCAACAAAATGTTAAGTTGATTAAATTATGCTGAACTATGCTAAATCATTGCACCGCACACATAAATGCATATATGGGACCACACATACATGAGGCATGAAAAGTTTGGTCCAAACTTCACAGCTAGTTCTCGTCATGTTCTGAATATGGGGGCATTTGAAGAGAAATCCCTCCAAGGGGATGTTTCTGCTGTCACCCTCCCCCCCCCCCCCCCCCCCAAACTAGGCACATGACCTTGCATGGACTGATCAAATGCAAAAAAAAACCCATTACACTCACCCCTTGTTTTCATCAGTGTCCCTGTCTCGTGGAATCCTAACCTCGGAGCAGCCGAGTAGGTCAGCCAGAGAGTCCTCGTCGGTCTCGATGGAGATGCCCTTGATGTACAGAGTCTTCTCAGACAAGTTATCTGATGGTGGCAAAACAAATAATAAGATTAGATTCCAGTCTAACAAAAAGGATTTACAGTCAAACCTGTCTACAGCGACCGCACAAGGGAAACACAAAAAGTGGTCTTTGTAGACAGGTCCCTTTAGTAAATGTTTCTATGAGAAACCATTTTCAAGGGAAACAAAAATGTGCTTGTTGTAGACAAGTGGTCTTTGTAGACAGGTGGTCACTACAGAAAGGATTGGTGGGGGGTTCATCATACATTTTGATAAAAAATAAAAAATCTCTAGTCTCCCTTTTCGCAGGGTATGAGGTGGGAAATATTTTTGTTGTTGATAGATTGCATAGAGTGGTGAAGTGTGACGTCATCAAAAGTCTACTTTTAGAATTTATAAATTTTTTCTTCATTTTCCGAAAGAGCATCAAAAATAATGTCCAAATGTTGAAAGCCAATTGAATATGTTAAGTATTGACTGAGATATGACCATCTGATTAAATATATTCCCCATAGGAGCTCAGTGTTATATGCTCTGGCTCCTAACCACTAGGAGCCAGAGCATATAACACTGAGTTCCCATAGGACATATATTTATTCAGATGGTCATATCTCAGCCAATACTTAACATATTCAATTGGTTTTTCGACATTAGGACATTATTTTTGATGCTCTTTCGGAAAATGAAGAAAAAAATTGAGAAATTCTAAAAATAGATTTTTATGACGTCACAGCTTCTGTACTCTATACCTGTGCGCTCCCTACCGCCTCCTCCACCATCGGCACCACCACGTCCACCACCAGCACGTCCACCTCCCCTCTCCCTTGCAAACTCCAGGAACAATCCCTCCTCTCCATTCAGATTGTCGATAGCAGACTGGGCCGAATCATGGTCCTCATAGTCGGCATAAGCAAAGCTGAAAACACAAAGAGAGAGAGAGAGAAAGAGAGAATAATGGACTTAATAATAATAATAATAATAAATAATACATTTATAGAGCGCAGAAACTATCCAACATTAAGTATATATTCTACTGCGCTACAAGAGCTCCTGATACGCTTAGATTTACAGTTAGTTAAAAAGATGTGTTTTCAGTTTTGATTTAAAGATATTTACAGATAGTGATTTCCTGACTTCAGTGTTATATTTGTTTTGATAGATGGGATATGCAGCAACAAAGTATCTCGGGAACTGCGCAAAGTTGCGATTGTGTTGGTTAAGTTTGAACATAACTGCTCATTATAATAACAAGGTAAACAATGATGAAGACAAAAGTGCTGCCAATTGCGATATCATCGCAAGATTAAAAGCATCAATGAAGAAATACATACCTAAACTTTCAGATAATTAACCAACTATAAACCTTGAATTTTGAGAGACATTTTAGAGCAACTAAACACCATGAGCAAGGAAAAAAATACTTTAAAAATTTCGAGGGCTATTTTTCAAGCTTGCTTGCATAAAAAGAACACTCTTAATTTGTTTTGTATTGAACTCTATGCAATTTTTAGGGGGGACTCTTTTATGACTTTCGGGGGCTCTTTTTGGCATTTCGGGGGCTACTTCGCCCCGAGCCCCATGTATTTTTTCCCCTGACCATGAGTGTCTTGTACATGTGGGTACTGGTGCTATACAAGAAGCCAGCACCATCATCAATATGCCTCTGCCTATATTAAGTTAATACTTTGTCACCATCCTCTACTATATAATTTTTGGCTATCACTAATTAAGCCAGCTTACTCGAAGCTGAAAGCAACAAGAAATACAAACTTAAACAAAATTATTGATCATATAGTGACAGGTTGAACAAAAATAGTTGGCGCAGTGAGGGCTATCTATTGAGGCTTGCTAAACAGTAGCATTAGCTTTTTGAGAACATAGGGAGCAAAATAGCTCCTGAAAAGAAATCATGTTATCAAGGTAAATATTACCGAAAAAAAATTATGTTTTAAGTAATCTGCATCTAGAAAAGGATAGAAGAAGAGTGTGTTTCCTTGTTGTATAATCTGATTTGCTTAAACTTCCACCAATCTTCTTTTCTGATTGATTTTGTCCTAGAATGTCAGCACTGGGGTCAGGGGTCACGTTATCGATTAATGATAATTACCCCTTGATATCGCCAGTGTCCCTGAATGTTGGAATCCTGACGGAGTAACATCCCAGGAGTGACACGAGAGAATTCTCATCGGCGTCAGGACCAATGTTCTTCACGTACACCGTCTTGTTGTCAGAATTATCTTGTGGAGCTGAAATAACAAAAGATATATTATACACACCCATCACCTTCCATATTTGGGGGTTCTGGACTTTTGGGTGCCCATGTGTCCCGGGGGGCTGTCAATGTTGAACCCATTAGTATGTGACCCCATCCCCAATGGGTGGTATTCTTATTTAAGCCGGGACTAAGTCCAGACTAAACAATAATTTTAGTTCACACTTCTATGGAATGCTAGGTTTAATCTTCCTCCTTTAATATTCATGACAAAGAAAATCTACCAAAGACTTTGTTGAAATTCAGTTCATACTCATATTATCTTTTTCTTCCCAGTTCATTGCAAAATTAATTTTTGGAACAATTTTCATTGCAGGATTATAATAATCTGTACAGGGTAACAAAAGTTGGCAACAGGCACTCATAAAAAGTGTGGACAAAGGCTTAACTTCATAAGTGCTATCGGAATACCACCCAATATGTTTTAATTTTTGTTTTGTCAAGTAATGAACAAAGGGTCAAGGCATAATTCCCAAACTCATATATTCACTTGAAACTGTGAACTGGATAATTTAACATTGGAAATCATCAGCCCCGACAATTATCTGTTCACACCAAGCAACAAAAGGTCAAGGGCACATCTAAGGACACCTGGGCAATTCCACGGTAACAGAAGGACACTCAGACAAGATTTTTTAACTTCAGGTTCATACTAAAAGAACTGTTTTATTAGTATAAGATGTGAAACAGTACAGATATAATACCTATATAAGTGCCTTTAATTCTCCCCCAAAAAATTGTCATTATAGTTAAGTAGTTTAAGAATGTGCATATTAATTATCTCGGTAACGGAAGGACATAAAAATGGACATGGTTTTTCCAGTTAATTAGTGTTTATCCAAACTTTGTGAAGTTGATGAAGCTTTCCACTTGACTGAAACACATTTTGTTCCCCATAGTTTAATACATACTAATAAAACATTTCTTTTAGTATGAACCTGTAGTTCAAAAATCTTGTCTGAGTGTCCTTCCGTTACCGTGGAATTGCCCACCTAATAATTTACAATTCATAAACTCTAGTTTTCACTTGACAGTTTAATTTGAACATTGCAGATAACCACACATGACAAGTATCCAGCATTAGTTCTCATCAAGCAACACTAGGGGGCCTTTTCTTAAAACCGTCATAAGTCTAACTTCTTAGACGTCTCATTGAAACGCGTGTTAAAGCATTAACACATCTTTCTATGAGATGTCCACAAACTTAGACTAAGGACGGTTTCGAGAAACTGGCACTAGGGATTTTATATTCACATAGGCTAAAACCTGGCCGGGGGGTCCAAGCCTCCAAGGGGCCAAAAATGATATACAACCCTCCCCCTAACATAAGGAACTATTGACACCCTAACTCTATCCCTTATGCAAAAAGCCTGGGACGAATGACGATAGAGCATTAGCAGATCACCCACACCACAGGTCACATGAGTAATCACCTGATCCTCGACCACCGCCCCGGGGCCTGGAGTCATAATCTCGCCCGCCAGATTGGCCCCCATAGGAGTTACCTCCATAGCGACGACCTCCACCTCCCCTTCCACCTCCATCACGATCGCGTCCACCGCCATCACGATCACGTCCTCCTCCGTCACGCCTTCCACCATCGCGCCTCCTGCCGCCACCGCCACCTTCTGCAGCCTCCTCAAAGTTCTTCCTCTTGCGTCCGACGTAGTCAAGGGCGGGCGTCCAGCCGTCGATCTCGATGCCGGAATGGTTGTTCAAAGCATCCTCAGCCTTGTCCTCATCTTCAAACTCGATGTAAGCAAACCTGTTCACAAGAAAGCAAGGCATTAGAAAGGATCACAATTTCCCAGAGGGCTAAAATCAACTCCTCCAGCTGGCACAAATTCATTATCTTTTACTCATATCTTTTAGAACTTCAGAACTTAACCTTCTCTTTAAATGCTTTGAGCACCTGAGGGCAACTGGGCTAACTCCGGGATGATAATAATACTTTGTATGCACCTTGAGCCACGCCGGAGATGGATATGTGTGCAATTTAAATGTTTCTATATATATTATCATTAGGCCTTTAAAAAAAAAGATGTTGGTGCCAAATTATGGTTGGTTGGTCAGAATTTTTTTTAATTTTTTTTTTAAACTCCCTCTTTGGGCTGATATTTCTCAGTTTTGAATACTTTAATACATTTTTTTCTTCTAAAAAGCAGTAGAAAAAAAAAAAAAAAAAAAAAAAAAAACTTTTTTGAAAAGCCAACCATAGATTTCAAGAATTTGGGTCAGTCGCAAAGGGCAATACAACATTTTTTTTTTAAGGCCTCATGACTGATAACATTTTTTCCCCGCAGTGTTTTCTTTCTTACCCTTTAGATCTGCCCTGGTTGTTGAGTGGTATCCTGGCAGACAAAGCCCCAAAGGTCTCCCTCAGTGTCTCCTCGGTGGTGTTGTAACAAAGACCCTTGGCAAACAAGGTCCTGTCATCTTCGCTATCGCTCCTTCCTGTTAATAGTAGCAGTAAACAGAGACTTACATGTAGAATGTTTGTGTTCTGTTCAACCCATCAAGAACAAATTCCCACATTTAATGATGTTATAATATATAGTACATTCACATTTTTTAGAGTTCAGGGGTGTTTCACAAAGATCCCATGTCGAACTTAACTCTAAGTTGGACTTGAATATTATGGGGAGCCATTTGTAGCTTTAAAAAAGAATATATTCAAAAGTGAAAATTCAAGTATTTTGGACTTTTTATAAATTCCTCATCAAGAACATGAAATCTCCTCGATAATAGAAAATATGGATGATTTAAATCAACATTTTATGCCTTTTAAAACAACTTTTACAAAATATTTTCATAGATTCTAACGGCTTTCCATAATTGTTAATTCCAACTTAGAGATAAGTTCAACTTAAAATCTTTGTGAAACACCCACTGAACTTCTAGGCCAGTAATTTTCACATCCTAGACGGCATGTCAATATTACTGCATATGAAGTTCAAATTATGAAGCAAAAATGTCACTGTTGATATGCATGTACTGTCTCATGCTACCATGTTAAAATCATTTCCTTCAGCAAGGGCCCAACACTAACATGCCCCTGGGACACATGGGTGCCCAAAATCTTAGTCCTGACCCTCAAAGTTTTTGGACAATTTTCATAGAGCCCATGCATAGTTCACACAGGTCAAACCGGACCTCCATCCTATAAAAAATAATTTGGAGCCTTGTGTATTACAAGATGGGTAGAAGAATCCCTGCAATCTTGATTGGTCAATTACCATGTAATATTTTTTACTGGATGCACGCGATATCGGCGATCGATACCACCGATATTCTCTTTTTTAATAATTCTCTTTTTTTTAAATAATTTTTCTTTTAATGATTTTTTTTTCGTGTTTTTTGATAATTATAATCTGTTTAAATTTTTTTTTAAATCTATGATTTTGCACTGACAATTTTTAATTTTTTTTTTTTAATTTCATGATTTAGCCATGCATCCGGTAAATCTGTAAAATAACAAAATTTTGTATTTTTGACAATTTTTGGGGCCCCATCTTATAAAACAGATGATGCACAGGTTTAATTTGTGGGTCGGTGGAATTGTGTGCACGTGGTACCTTTGAATTTGGCACACAATCCCTATCGACACACTCAAACCTGTGCATCATTTGTATACTGGTAAAGCAGTGACAGAAAGTCATTACTGAATTATTATTTTGTGTGTGCGATGATGAGGTTCAAAATTGGTATATAATAGGTACATGTATGTATATTGAGCTCTTGAGAGTACATGTACATCAATTCAAATTGAAGTCAAAAGTTTCTAGTCAACATGTGCTGATGTGTACAGATTTGTTACCATAATCCTAATTTCTAAATGTTATGATTTTTAAAGAAAGGCAGTCCATATTGTCTGGAGCCAGAAGGGTGTTAAAGTGTATGAGTTCATGCCCTTTCGTATCCAAGCAGATGATATGTTGGTGCAGAGCGCTCGGCTCGTTCAAGCAAGTCATGAAAAAAATGGCACCCCCCCTCATCAGGCTTGGTTGGTACTTACTTCTTCCTCGTGATCCCATGATGATTCAGGTCAAATTGTTTTCCTCACTGTGATTGGAAGAAAAAAGAAAACAAAACGAAGGTAATGCTTTATGTATGATAAGTCACTAGATGTAGTCCTTGCTTCAAGTTAACCCTAATTCTGTTTGTTTCAAGTAATGCTAAATATTACACCTCATTTATTGAGTATCACCTTCAGGATCACAACAAATAAAGGTTTGAATCTCAATTTAAAAAAAAAAAATTTGACCAATTTTACATGGTCGTGCAATGCACATAGACTGCAAAGGAATGCGTGCAATCTCTATGGGAAGGATTTTAGGACACAACATCAGGTGCGCCATCAGACACCCTAATTTTAGGTATCATCAAAAAAATGTCATTAGACTTTAGGCCCCCCCCCAAAAAAATGTTTAGCGTCCTGCCTTTTTTTAAAATAGGAAGGAGGCCCTTTTTTTCTTTCAAAATGGCCGCTCGGTACATTTTTTCCTGACAGATGGGCTATTTTTCAAGATTGTCGCCGTTTTTTTTTTTATAATCAGAAATAGATCATTTTAGCAGTATGTTTTTCATGTTTTAGTTCATTAAAGAAAAAAGAAAAAATAGGAGGTGGCCCCCCAAAAGGAAGAGGGCGGGGAAACTAAACATGTATATTTTTTTTACATGGCCTTAAGTACTGATTTTGAGTAAATTCTGGCGAGTTATGTACCATAGTGATGTTAAAAATTAAAAATCAATAGAGGGTGTCTTACTCTTACATGTTTTAATACACGCGAAGTACAGATGCTACTAATACTATTACGATGCGACGTGGCTGCAGTCAACCCATCCAGTTCACTAGTTAATAACCCTTTTCGTTTTTAGTCGACGCCCGTTCTCTACACGATGACGTAATGTCCCCTGCGCGTTTATTCAATTTCTCCTCTTTAGTCTTTCGTCATGTTCTGTTCTTTTACCTTCTTTATGTTCTTCTTTGTTTTAATCATTCTATCACTTTCTCTTTCTGTCTTTCATTGTTATTCTTTGTCTCTTCCTTTTTTCTCTTTCTGTCTTACTTATTCTTTGTTTCTTCCTTCTATCATCACCTTCTCTTATTTTATTCTTTGTTTCTTCCTTCCAATTCTATCACCTTCTCTTTCTGCCTTTCCTTATTGTTATTCTTTGTTTCTTCCTTCTTTCACCTTCTCTCACCTTCTCTTTCCGTCTTTCCTTACGTTATTCTTTGTTTCCAATTCTTCCTTCCATCACCTACTCTTACTCTACTCTAATGACATGTTATTCTTCTTTTTATCATTCTATCACTTTCTCTTTCTGTATTTCCTCTCTGATTTACGCGGCAATATAGCATTAGCAAGATGACGTCATTTTGACGGAGTTCAAATTTTCTGACGAACCTCAAATCATGGATGAACACGTTCTCAAATTTGGCCTGACAACGTCATGGACGTGACACGACCAGACGCATGCTCAAATTGCAGAATTACGTCTTCGACGTCGTCTATGTGGACGTGACAAACGAAAAGCCTCTAATAATATTACAACACCTCCCTTTAAAATTCCCTAGTGGAATGTTCCGGAGGAATCCAATCCAAGATCCAAGAACACACAACACGCGCACGCGGCCGCATGCCGCATTTGTCTACCCAGGCCAAATTTGAAACCTATGTGTGGGACTAGATCTACATTGAATAGTATCACACGCTACATTGATCACGTGAACTCGACAAAAATCTGTAAAGAAAATACACATTTAAGCATGGTTATCACATCTCTTTAACAATCACACCCCAAACTTCACAATTCCAGAACATTTTTTTACATATTTCGACTTAAAATGTGGTAAATTATCATAAACAAGGTACATATGTACTCACGTGGCGTGTGCAAAAAAGGTTCAGTCAGAGTGTAAAGCGCGAGAGAAGGTCACGTGTTATGACGCGCGTGATATAATTATGTACGTAGTAAAGTAGCTAAATGCCTGGGCCTGGGGCGCCGGGGGAGGGGGCTATACTTGCGCTGAAATGGCGTCTTCGAATGATACTTCTTGTAACCTTCCCGTCCCCCCCAAAAAAAAATTATCAAAGAACCAGAAATGGAAAGGAAAAGGGAAGGAAAGAAGGGAGACGAGGAGGATCCATGAGCAGTACTACACCTGACGGTGGCCTGTATATAACTGAAGAATATATAGAAGAAGAGTGAGAAGATAATAATGAAGAAAGAGGAAGAAAAAGAAGAAGCAAAAAGAAGAAAAGGAAAAAGAAAAAAGAAAAAAGAAAAAGAAGAAGAAGAAGAAGAAGAAGAAAATAAAAAAGAAGAAGAAGGAGGAGATATATAGGAGGAAAAGAGGAGTAGGGGTGGGGGGGGGGGGTCCCATATATGCAACACGATCGCAACTTTGGACGTTAAATATTTTAATGCCAAACGTCAATCGCACGTGTGCGTCGATGGAATTTAAATTTGCGACTACTAAAGCTGATAATATTATAATGTAAGGCCGCACATGATTTTTAATAAGCATTATTTATTTATTTATTTATTTATTTATTTATTTATTTATTTATTAATTTATTTATTTATTTATTTATTTATTTATTTATTTATTTTTTATTTATTTATTTATTTATTTATTTATTTATGCATGCATGCATGCATGTTCACAATTTCACAATACCAGCTATAACTATGCCCTAGCTGTAAACGATAATTTCCTAATTCTCGCTACCCCAAATAGCGATTCTGCCGAGATCCGGGGAAAATCCTGAAAACGCGCATTGCATTATGGGATAGCTTTTCGACATTACAGCTTCCTGTGCAGGCGGCGCGATAGCGCAAACGTGTACGCCGTCGCCACACAACGTGTATGCACCGAATATGTCGTCTGCTCGGTCTTGTTTTTTTTTCGCAAATATTTCAACGTTTATTTGAACATTTCATTCGTTGTTTTTTGCGTCTTTTGACATCAGTGACGATGGTTTTCTTTTGTGAGGCTGCACAGTGCTGGGCTCATGATTCCAAGCGTAAGAACCCTGAAAAATGGGGGTGGATGAAGGCCGTGACTTGGGATGGGACTCTATACCGGAAGTTGTAGTGACGACCCGAGAGAGTGAAAATTACCTCGTCTCGCGAATTTCGAGATTTTCGTACCTATTTAGGGTAGCCAGAATTAAGTTGATTTTTTGAAGGTCTTTAATTGCCGGCCATGCATCTTGTTTTCTTTTTAATGAAAATAATTGTGTGTTTTACCCGCTGGCTGGGATCGAGCCTTTGTTTTTATTCCTAGCTTTATCATATAGACATAAGAATAACAATTTTGTTGCCCTCGTTCAAATCTTACAATTTTGTTTGTCAATGCAGTTACGTAGCGGTCTAACTAAAAATAGACGTTTCTACCTTCTTACTCTAAAATTCCTACCCCTGCACTTAATTCTCTTCCCTTTTTTTTTTGACCCGCCTCCCCCCGAGGCGTCTTCGTATGTCCTTCTCTCTCTCTCTCTCCCACTCTCTCTCTCTCTCTCTCTCTCTCTCTCTCTCTCAGTCTCCACTTCTGGGGGGGGGGGGTAGTGAGCAATATATATTTTTTCTTTTGTGCACCTCAACATTTTTAAATCGCGCCGACCGATATTTCGCTAAGTGGGGGGACGAGGGGGGGACGAGGGGGTGGCCGGGTGAGCAATAATGTGTTCTTTATTTTTACTCAGCACACATCCCCCCTTCCGCAAAAAAAAAAACCCTGCGTACCTGCCGGATGACATGTAAATGTGATGTACTCTCAAACACCAGAGGGGGATCGAACTTGTTTTGGAAACGCCCCCCTGCCCTCTCATCGATCATAGATTCTACTTTCTAGCCCCAAACATTCTTCTCAATTACAGAACTCATTAAAAAAATGAACTATCTTCATGATTAGGCGCGCCGGAACGGCATTTCGGGATTGGGGGGGGGGGGGGACAAACATTCCAGGGGATGGGTGCACGGGAGGGGGTTGTTTGCCCCCTCCCCGCGGGAGGCGCGGAAGCTTTGTCGTTTTATTCATTTATTAGAGAAAGAAGACGATTCGTTGTATACCTTTCTCGCCTCTCAGTCAGGGGCGTCGCTAGACCTTTTTCAGTGGGGGGGTGTAGAGGCCAACGATTACCGACAAAACTAGCGACCAATTACCGACAAAATTAAATGTCCAATATCTACCAATTTAACCCTATAAACCCGGGGCCGAAGGCTAAAATGTTTTTCCTATGGACTATCTATAGTACTTGCATATGCGCAAATGGTCATTTTCCTCGACGACATAAAATGTACAAATTATTTCGTCAACTTAGTCAGCATCATAGCTGGTATATTTTAATGCAGGCGCAGAGCTAGGATCTTATTTTAGGGAGGGCGGTAGTGAGCAAGCGAATCACTTAAAGAGCGCTCATTAGGGGCCTCGTGTGGGTGATAGGCCTCTAAATTATTAGGAAAAGAAGACGATTTATTGTACCTTTCTCGACTGTTAATCCTTGTCTAAATGAAGTTTCCCCCCCCCCCCCTCCCGCGCTAAGCGCGAAATTTTGACCGTTTCATTAAATTATTAGAGAAAGAAGACATTTCGTTGTACCGTTCTCGACGCGTCTAAATGAAGTTTTCTCTCCTTCGCGCGAAGCGCGGAATTTTTGGCGTTTCATCACAATATAGAGAAAGGAAGACGATTCGTCGTACCGTTTTCGATTCTTATTACTCCCTATTCATCTGAATTCAGTTTCCCCCCTCAAGGGGAGGGGTTAACATTTTGAAATTGGACCAAAAATTTCGCAACGACTCAGCCAGCCACTGAATAAGCATGGGGGGGGGGGGGGGTTAGGTCATCCATTTGGATTTTTTGTTGTATTAAAAAAAACCAAAAAAAAAACAAACAACAACACTAAAAAAGGGGGGGGGGGTTCCAGAAAAACATACACATAACAAAAAATGAAGGTAGGGGGTTTACCCCCCCCCCCCCCTGCGTACGCTTCTGACCCTGTTATTACTTTTAATATATTATTAGAGATTTTTTTTCTTTGAATTGTGCAGTTCATGTTGATAAATCTATTTGTGTAAGAGAAGACCCCTAGTCCACAATTATGTTTACTTATGAAGTCCACTTCTTCTTGTCTTAATAAACCAATTCTACTTAAGACTACTTTATATTTATAGGCCATATGAAGCACTTTTTGAGGCACAAGTTAAATCTTCCATTTGATTTTACTTTGTACTGTGGTCCATTAAATTGGAATGTTGATTTCCACACTATATTAAAATTAAGGCCAACCATGACATGAAAAATATCTTTTATGCTAGATCTATTTTTATTTTGTTAAGGAGAAAGGGACGCCTTGATTGTCGTATTGATTTTGTTTTCTTTTTGTTCCAACAGATGGAAACTGATGAAGAGCTGGAAGGAGCTAACTGATGAGTAGACATTACAACATTTCTTATATTTTCAAGATGAAGCTGAAAGTCCCATGCAGGTAAAATTTTCAGGATATTTAGCACACAAATATTAAACGACCACCTATTAATTCACTAAAAAGGAAATGGAACTAAGTGTATGTTTCAAGTGTGTATAGTGGAGGGAATATTTTATTCTAGTTCTTTCCTTTCTTTGTTTACAAAGGGGTTTGTCCTTATTTACAGGAGGTCCTGTGTGTAGAAGAACAATGTCTAATGCACATTCAAAGCACTACATAATAATGATAATGATCATACATGTAGGGTATACACAGGACCACTCATTACTTTTTTTTGTAAGTGGTCCTTTCACTTCTTGAGCAATGAAGATGAAGAAGAACACAACATAAGATTAACGAAAGTCTGTTTATACGATGAATTATGGTTGATATGTATCTATTATTATCACTTTTTAATTGAAGTACCTACATTGCTTTCTCTTATGTAGGATGATGCTTCTCTACAGTGGATGATGAAAGCATGCTGATTACAAACCCAGGAGAGGAATAAAGAACATATATTGACAGAATCATATCTAGAGATGTGGGCCTACTGCACTTCATACAAGCAAGTGTGCTAATATACCATGTAGGTACCCCCAATAAACTATTGTAGGACACATTTATCATGCAGAAAGTTATAGATCTGACAATTATATTTTTCATTGTCCATTGACTTGTAAAGAATACTTGACTGAATATCACAATTGTGATTTAGATTAAAACTAAAATGTCAATATACATGAAATATAAGTCTACATAACGTATGTTTCCGACAATAGCATTATTTCCTGTACATTCTCTGTTCCAAGTTGTTTGGTCATTTTATGTAAACCGAGTATTATTCATTTATGACCACAAGTTTACATTACAAGAACATTGTACATGTACCAGTATTACTTATTTCATACTTGTCTGATCCAAGCTCCATCAGGCCTATTGTCTTAATGGGATCATCAGAAATAATCTAACATGTGGTCAGTAACTAGTTTTGTAGGAAAAAAAGTTTAGGTTTTCCCCACTAGAACCCCAAGTGAATATTAGTCCTTCCTCTTTTTGTCAGAGCAGGTATCAGGGTGTATGTTATTAGTTGTTGTTTATTTTCTTATACACTGTATCTTATTTCATTTTTCCATTCAACAGACTTGGGTTATCATCACAGCCCTTTCTTCTGAAAACTAGCCTACAACTTCATCGATGAATGCAGAAGACATCTACATGGGACTACGTCTTAAAGATGCCCCCTCATATAATGAAAGAGGACAGTAGAGATGGGTTTAATCTTGAATATTTACATACTATTTATTTATTATTTGTATTATATGTTTGTAGAATACCACATTTAAAAAAAGCTAATGAATTTATTATCTTGTCAACTTTTCAAATAATTAAAGATAACTAATCATCAATGAATAAACATTAATGACATTTTAACATCTTACAGGATGAAACTGAGTGCTGGGCAGAAAGAAATTTCCTTGAAATTTGAGTGATAAAGATTTATCAGTCTATATCAAAGATTGAATCAATCAATGATATTTATAATTATAATTATACATGTTGAAATTCATTTACCTCAGTCTATGGACTTCTGTATTTGAAGTTTTGTAGATTATTACATTATTGCTGCTTCAAGTATTGTATGTAAGAAGGTTTGAAAGACAACCCTCTAAATGCACTAAATATGGAAACTGCTAATCATCATTGCCTGTTGTATCCAAACTGCTAATTTTAATAGAATCATGTTTTGATACTTCCTAGCTTAAGAAAACAGAGGGGGGGGGGGGGGCTTGTTATCCTCTTCCTGGTGCTGTTTCTAAATGGACCATGTAACAGGTTGCAAAAGTGTAAACAATATTATATTTGTTATATGTTTATATTAGAAGGATTTAGAAAATGAAAACGTTTTGAATTATAGAATTACTGTTGCTAGAAGTAATGGCAGTATTGATGTGTAAGGGAAGGGGTGGTTTTCCCAGTGAAATTTAACGGTATACCAATGTCAAATTGATAAAAAAAGAGAACTATTCCTAAAAAAAAATTATAAAGGACATGGGCCTCCCAACTAACTAACCCTGGTACCACTCCTGGTTTTTTATTTTTGGAGGGGGGAGGGGGGGGGGGGGGCGCCCCCAATTCAAAATTTCCAGTGTTAAATTCCATTGTCTTTAAACAAAAAATATGTCAAGATATTGAAAAACAATGTTCCACTTTCCGTTTTCAATTCGAATAAAATGATTAACATATTTTCCGATCTCTCTGGTCTCTACATTAAAATGTTCAAAGCTCCTGCAAAGGCTGCAAAAAGGAAAAGTGAAGATAATCCAAGTGAAATGCGGACAGTAATGGAGTGAATATGGATCAATGGTTGATCGTAGTTGATAACGAGTAAATGTAAATGAATGGTATTACGACTGAAAGTGAGACAGAAAGGAACTGCAACAGATTGTTCAGTCAAGACAACAAACCGTTAGTTGCAGAAGATAATTTACGAAAGACAGAGAAAAGAGAGAAGGGGGATCATTAAGGTACGATGAGAGTGGGTGGAGAAAAACCATCCTCTTTGCCACATAATTTGTTTTGTATAAAATAAGGACATGTACATTAGCATATTCAACATGTATAATCATAGCCAGAGAATGTGTTGTTATATGGCTTATAGCATGTTTGAGTTAATAAAACAAAAACAGACCCAGTTATTGATAGACTAAAAAGGGAATAAGATCGGATCAGTATTTCTTATTCAATGAGTTAAGGCCACTCCCCATATTAAAAAACAACAACAACACAACAACGAGAGGTCCACTTCCCGATGCATTCTGGGTACACCAGCTGTTATACTGGTGATCGATAATACAAGTTCGAGCGCGTATTTCACCTAACGGTGATCGCATCAGAATAATCTACGCTGATTCGCTGAATCACTTGCGTTGCTAGCGCGCAGCGTGATGAATAAATTACCCATAATTCCGTACAGTAGATTATTTGACCTCTCTAATTACGCTGATATGCGTATTGTCTTTTACCATGTAGTGAACATCATTCCAGTACACACGTTTCGTGGGGAGCATCCTTCAGAATGCATAATTCATAGGGCTCATGAATTATGCAAGGGGGCTTATTTTGGCTTCTAATGGATCCGGACAAAATGGCGGAGCTTGGGGGGCCTGGTCGCACCCCCCACACCCCCCCCTTTGGCGACGCCCCTGCTCTCAGTATGCCTTGTCCGAGTTCAGTCCCCTCTCCCTCCAGCGCGAAAGCTTTGACGTTTCATTAATTATTCGAGAAAGAAGACAATTCGTTGTAGGCTACCGTTCTCGTCTCACCGTTCTCATTGTCTGAAGTTTCAAAAATGTTTTTCGTCCAATAAAAAGATACAATTCGTAGGGGGAAAAAAAAAATCGCCAATGCAGCAGACCGACATATAAGATCAAACCGACTTCAAACTTCTGCATTGATATCGTACACAAGATTGAATACCGACACAGCAACATAATATATGCGTATCATTCTTGCTCCCCCATGTCGAAATTCCAGTAGATACCAGTTGAAACCAGTAAGGATTTCCAACTGGTATCTACTGTTTGAACTGGTCTCAACTGGTCTTAACTGGTACCAGTTTATACCAGTTGATACAATTTGGAAACCAGTAGAAATACCAGTTGACATCTGAGACCAGTTGATATTACCAGTTGATTTACCAGTTGAAACCAGTAGATGATTACCAGTTGATTTACCATTTGAAAACCAGTATTATTACCAGTTGATTTACCAGTTGAAAACCAGTAGATGATCACCAGTTGATTTACCAGTTGAAAACCAGTAGATGATTACCAGTTGATTCCAGTTGAAAACCAGTAGATGATTACCAGTTGATTTACCAGTTGAAAACCAGTAGATGAGTACCACTTAAAAACCAGTAGATGAGTACCAGTTGAAAACCAGATGATTGATTTACCAGTTGAAAACCAGTAAGATTACCAGTTGATTTACCAATTGAAACCAGTAGATAATTACCAGTTGATTTACCAGTTGAAAACCAGTACGAATGATTTACCAGTTGAAAAACCAGTTCAATATATCTTATGAATATTCATGATTTGCATGTTTTCACAGAAAATATAATTATCATGAACTTTCAAGCAAATGTGACAATTAATGCACATACATTTTGTGATTTACATTTCCTTAGTTAATTATTGACAAATATTACACATGTCTGATCATGTTTTTCATCTGATTTAAGACGTAAAATGAGATATAATTATTGATATATATGTAATTACTAACCAGAAATAAAGTGTATAAATTTGTATATGTTTATGCACGAACAATATCTGCAAAATCACACAATACACATCTGTAATCTACTTCAATTGATCATTGTGATGGGGTAGCTGCAAGAATTAGTATATGACTTGTGGTCAAGTTGGTGGCCAGATGCTAATAATGATTATTGATTATCGGTTGATTGATTACTGGATAATCATCTAAAAAATCAACTGGAAATTCAACTGGAAATTCAACTGGTAAATCAACTGGTAAATCAACAGGTAATTGAACTGGTAAATCAACTGGTAATTTAACTGGAAATTCAACTGGTAAATCAACTGGTAATTGAACTGGTAAATCAACTGGTAATTCAACTGGTAAATCAACTGGTCTCAGTTAGCGTTGTTTCAATTTCCATATTAAAAACCAGTTGAATCTACTGGTTTCAACTGGTACCAGTTGACTTACTGGTTTTAACTGGTACCAGTTGCCTACTGGTTTCAACTGGAATTCCGACCTGGGGCCGGCCCTCGACGACGGGTTCTTACCCGGGTACCTCAGGTTCTTACCCCCTCTCTCTCTCTCTCTCTCTCTGTCCTCTCATACACGTACCCCCGTTCCTTTTTTTCCCTTCCCCCCCCCCTTTTTCCCTTTTTCTTTCTTTTCTAATTTCTTATCCTTTCTTTCCTCTCCAGGTTCCTCTTTTTTCCTCTCTTTCTTTCTTCTCTTTCCTTTCTTTCTTCTTTCCCTTTTCCACTCCTTTTTTTCTCCTCTCCCTTTCCCCCTTTTCCCTGACGGCAGCGCAATTTTACGGACACATATCCTGACAGGTGGGGATGTCGCACCCCACACCCCCCCCCCCCCCTTTAGCGACGCCCCGTCTTACATGCAGGTCATGTAGTGTCACTACAGCAGTGTGTAGTGAGGATTGTTACAAGATTTCGTTATATAAAGTTTATTATTGAAGACTAGTTAATTCAGTCTGAATATATAGACTACCAATGTCAATGTATTAGGCCTGTACTGCTGTTATCTTAGGTCAACAGAAGCCCCCTTGTCTTATATAACAGAAGCCCCTTGTTTTATAGTGCTAAATGAAAGTACTTTGCATACAATGTATGGGTATACATTCTGTGTGTTGGCACTTGTGTTGTAGATGTATCGCATATTATGTGTAGTTGCAGTATATCATCAGTGTTCAAGTGAATGTCTCAACAGTGAAGTTGCTAGTTGCAACCGTCTTCAAAAGTTTGATTTCCAGTGATTGTGGAGCATTTTACAGACCCGAATTGGTAAGAACTCACTTAATATAATAGTGGTAGTTAATGTTGAATTGTTTTATGAAGTAATGTAAGCTTAGGAGAGAATATTAGTTATCTTGTTGTTGTTATATATAGTTTGGAACTTGAAGGGCAAGGAAAGTTATGTGTGTGCTCTTCCAGTGCACTTAGGAGATGCGTGCATTGTACTGTACTCTCTCTCTCTCTCTCTCTTCTCTGTATCGCTATCCACCCCTCTCTGATCTCACCCTTTCTCTCTCTCTCTCTCTCTCTCCCTCTCTATCCCTTTCTTCAGCTCTCTATGCATGTTTGTTACAGTGCCACTGAGATGGTGGTGACTGCATTATAATGTATTATAATGTATTTTAAGACAGGTACTTTCTTATCTAGTAGGATATTATTCTTTATACTTGTAGTTGTTTTGTTGCATATGTAATAGACTGCGTAATTAGTTAATTACATACATGCAAGTTGACTTATATTTTCATTGTCTAGCCAAGGTTTATAACTTGTTGCTTATAAAAACAAAGAGACAGTTTTGGAGTGCATGTAGTCAGTTTAAGTTATATGTAGGTTCAATTACTTTGTTAAGCTATTTTGATATGATATATAATATGCACATGTATTGTTGTAGTGTCTCATAAATATGAACATTATGTAGTTTGTTTCTCTTTCTGTTGTGTTACAGATTGTTATCTGAAGGTTGGGTGACCATACGACCAGTGAATAAACGACAGTTCGTGAACTTTAACTGAATCTTCGTACCTCGTCATTTCAATCTTGTGAATAACAACTTTAGGGTGTTTGTGTAATCGTCGAAACTCCTCGGTTTACTAGTTGTAAACGGAGGCAGCCACAATAACAATCAACGTCTGTTATTCGAAGTCGAATAACAAGTGAAGTTCCACAAACAAATGAAGCTGAATGACAATCAAGGATCTGCATGTGCATCCAGTTAGCTGAACGGCAAAGTAGCCTGTGCATCCAGTTAGCTGAACGGCAAAGTAGCCTGTGCATCCAGTGAGCTGAATGGCAAAGTAGCCTGTGTATCCAGTTAGCTGAATGGCAAAGTAGCCATAGACGTAAACGAAAAGGAATTGTATAAGTTACCATGGCAATGGCCACTAGTCTCCCGGAGAAGTTGGAGCAGGGGAGCGTTAAAAGTAAGCGCTCCGTGCAAAGCGAAAGAGTTCTTCAAGCATTCCATGATGAACTCCAGATGATGGACCAAGAGGATGAACTCAAAAGAATTGAGTTTGCCAGAAAACAAGAAGAAGCAAGAATTGAGTTTGCCAGAAAACAAGAAGAAGCAAATTCAAAATTGAGAAAACTCAAGCTCACCAAGCAGTTCAATGAGAGAATGGCAGAACTTGAAGGAAGCAGGGATGACATTGAATATTCAGAGACCATTCTGTCAAATTAGATCTTCCTGAGGAGAAAAGGGAGGACTCCATCCAGAGATATTTGCAATCCCAAGATAGTGTAGCACAGCAGAGCCCTCAACAGCCAAGGAGTGATGTCACTCCTGTGTATGAATCAAATGGGTTGCAAAAGGTAGGTGAATCACTCGCAGACGTAGCAAGGTCAATGGCTATACAAAGTGCTAGCTCTCAGCAGGTCGCTGTGACCAGTCAGTTGCCGCACATCGATCTTCCCGTATTCAGTGGAGACCCCCTCAGTATCCCCTCTGGAAAAATGCATTCGTGAGCCTCGTAGACAGGAATCCATTTGATCATCCTACAAAGCTGCATTACCTGAATAACTCTGTGGCTGGAGCACCAAAGAGGTTGGTGCAGCACTATCTTCTTCTCGGCACTGAGGATGCCTACCACAAAGCATGTGGAGCACTCGCAGAACAATACGAAGCCAGAGCGTGGTGTCTGCTGCCTTCACAAAATATGAAGGTTCCTCAAAGTGCACCAACATCTGTTCCTTACCAGACCAGGACGGGAAAGAACACTGCATGACTGTCCGTGGGTACGGCATGCTAGCAACCCAGGCAACGAGATCTTACAATACGCGATCCTGGATGACCAATCCAACGTTGGATTTGTGTCGAAAGCATTGTGTGAGAAGATGCGTGTAGATGGAACAGATACCAATCTTCAATTGACAACAATGCACGAGAGTACGCGCATCAAAACCTCAAGGATCTGTGGACTTGAAGTGCTGGACTTCAAGAAGGAGCATGTGGTCACCCTACCAGCATGCTATCAGAGGGACGACGTTCCAGCTAGGAGATCTCAAATTCCTAAGGGTGAAGTAATGAGGAGGTGGGCTCATCTGTCCCCCATTGCCGACGACCTCATGCCATACAATCCAGCAATAGAAGTTGGACTTCTCATCGGCAATGACTGCCCGAGAGCCATTAGACCCAGGGACATCATCTGCGGTGGAGAAGACGAACCCTACGCTCAGAGATCCATTCTGGGATGGGGTGTCGTTGGGACCGTTTGCAAGTCTGCAAACCAGGAAGTCTTCTGCAAGAAGACATGTGTCGAGGACGACTACCCTCGCTTTGCCTATGCCAATCAGGCAAAGGAAGTATTCTCCCCAGAAAGGGTTCTCAATGTGCTGGAGAGGATATCATCAAAATGAATCAGAAGGGAAAGCCCTATTCCATCGACGAGATGAAGTTCATGAGCATGTTGGAGAAAGGAGGCAGGAAGACAGAGGATGGACACTATGAGATGCCCCTACCTCTGAAGTCCAAGGAGATGTCCCTTCCGTACAACAAGCCCCTTGCCATCAAGCGATGGAATCAATTGACAGACAGATTCAGGAAGAACCATAAGTTCCAGGAGGATTACACCGAGTTCATGAAGGGTGTGATCGCTGATCATGCGAAAGGGTGCCGCCAGATAGACTAAATGCTATGGTCAGTGTTCGTACGTCCGAAAGGTCAAGGTACTGATAGCAGACGGAATATTGGACAATGAGGGAAAGCGTAAACGCCTCCCGTTGAACTTGATAGACCTATCCAGAAGTTGGTACTGTTGTTACCAGTTGAAAAGTGATTTTGACTGTCACAAGTGAAGACCAGTGTATATTCCCCCTCAAGGAGCCTTTGATATTAAATCGCGAACAATGTTTTCAGCTCATCTGAACAATAAGCTAGGATTAACATGCGAGTTTCATAAACAGTTATGTTTTATAGTATTCACCTTTTAATGTATTGCAATGTGATAGATGTTGCAGATTTGTATTTATCATGTACATGTGTATTGATTTTAAGTGCATGTCTTGTTTTAAAGTGTAAATGGACAAGCCATTTAAAGGAGCCATGTCACTACAGCAGTGTGTAGTGAGGATTGTTACAAGATTTCGTTATATAAAGTTTATTATTGAAGACTAGTTAATTCAGTCTGAATATATAGACTACCATGTCAATGTATTAGGCCTGTACTGCTGTTATCTTAGGTCAACAGAAGCCCCCTTGTCTTATATAACAGAAGCCCCTTGTTTTATAGTGCTAAATGAAAGTACTTTGCATACAATGTATGGGTATACATTCTGTGTGTTGGCACTTGTGTTGTAGATGTATCGCATATTATGTGTAGTTGCAGTATATCATCAGTGTTCAAGTGAATGTCTCAACAGTGAAGTTGCTAGTTGCAACCGTCTTCAAAAGTTTGATTTCCAGTGATTGTGGAGCATTTTACAGACCCGAATTGGTAAGAACTCACTAATATAATAGTGGTAGTTAATGTTGAATTGTTTTATGAAGTAATGTAAGCTTAGGAGAGAGAATTAGTTATCTTGTTTGTTATATATAGTTTGGAACTTGAAGGGCAAGGAAAGTTATGTGTGTGCTCTTCCAGTGCACTTAGGAGATGCGTGCATTGTACTGTACTCTCTCTCTCTCTCTCTCTTCTCTGTATCGCTATCCACCCCTCTCTGATCTCACCCTTTCTCTCTCTCTCTCTCTCTCTCCCTCTCTATCCTTTCTTCAGCTCTCTATGCATGTTTGTTACAGTGCCACTGAGATGGTGGTGACTGCATTATAATGTATTATAATGTATTTTAAGACAGGTACTTTCTTATCTAGTAGGATATTATTCTTTATACTTGTAGTTGTTTTGTTGCATATGTAAATAGACTGCGTAATTAGTTAATTACATACATGCAAGTTGACTTATATTTTCATTGTCTAGCCAAGGTTTATAACTTGTTGCTTATAAAACAAAGAGACAGTTTTGGAGTGCATGTAGTCAGTTTAAGTTATATGTAGTTTCAATTACTTTGTTAAGCTATTTTGATATGATATATAATATGCACATGTATTGTTGTAGTGTCTCATAAATATGAACATTATGTAGTTTGTTTCTCTTTCTGTTGTGTTACAGATTGTTATCTGAAGGTTGGGTGACCATACGACCAGTGAATAAACGACAGTTCGTGAACTTTAACTGAATCTTCGTACCTCGTCATTTCAATCTTGTGAATAACAACTTTAGGGTGTTTGTGTAATCGTCGAAACTCCTCGGTTCTAGTTGTAAACGGAGGCAGCCACATGTAGCATTAATGATGAGGTAGAGCGTAGCAATTAAGCGTAAATTGTCTAGGGTCCACTGTCCAGGGACTGAGCCCCTGGGAAGCTCAGGATGTTTATAGGCATTAAATTACGGGCAGATAAGGATCCAGGGGTCCTCTTTCAAGCCCTTGTTGGGGTTCAGGGGGCAGTGCGCCCGGAAGCTCGGAGGTTTTAGGTATTTCATTAAGGAGCATCCAGGGGCCCGCCGTAGGGTCCTTGATGGGTCCAAGGGGCAGAGCCCCCGGAAGCTCAGGGGTTTTAGATATTTAATTACGGTCAGATAAGCATCCAGGGGCCCTCTTTAGGGCCCTTGGTGGGGTCTAGGGGCGGAACCCCCGTAAGCTCAAGGGTTTTAATTAGATGAGCATATTTCGATTCCTCATTTGTGACATTGGCAGGTTACTCATCCCCCCCCTTTTTTTTTTGCTATTGCTCTCATTCTTTTTCAAAAATGTAGGGGGGGCGCATAAAAAGGTACGATTTACAACAAAAACTTAGAAAAATACCGGAAAATCATGTCATTTCAATTTTCAAGCAACATTTGTAAATCACTGGAATCGAATTAGAAATACACCCCATCATTATGCCAGTGTTCGGGGCTAGCTCAAGTCTTCTCCCCTCTATAATAAAACACACACACACACGCTTTCCCATCCTGACGATATGCGCGTATCGGTATCGCTATTATAAAAAACTCCATTGATAAATATAAGGGCATGCGGAATGTATAGGACATTTAATTCCTTTTCTTTGAATGGAATATAAATAATTTGTAAGTGATTCAATTCAGGTTTTATTATTTGTATGTTCTTTTTGGTTAACAAATTCAAACCAGCTTTACTTTGAAGGTTGGGGCGTGGGCGGGCGTTTCTGGGGGGGGGGGGGGGCGAAACTGCGTTTTGCCCCCCCCCCCCAACTTTTTTGGTGGGGGGCGAGTGCCCCTTCCCTCTCCTCCCCCCCACCTCTTAAACCTATGTTCATGGTTAATTGTTAAACTGTATGCACATTTTCCAGGCTTTCTAATTCTTATTTGTTCGACTGATTTTTTTGCTTCTACTGAAAATAGTTAGTGAGCAAAAGGTGAGGACTCTCTGTCTAGGCTCTCACAGTGGCATATTATGCACCCGCCGTGCGCCCGCAACTTAACCACCATGTACCGTACCCTGCCCGGTTTCCGCCCGATGGGCAGTTTTTCTCAGATAACTTCTCTGAAAATGAATTATACAGGCGCTAATGTATACCAATTTGTTGCCGAAATTCTAGCAAATCTAGCTATGCCATTCTTACGCCCGAAATCATAAGCGATTGTCCGTAGCGCGCCGTCTGCGTGAGGCATTTTCCTTGCCTAATTCCGCCTAGACCCGCCCTAATTCCGCCCGATGGTGGGCGCGCATCAAAAGTATAGAAAAAGGAAACATCTCGGGTACACGTTAGGCCAAATCAAATTGCTTCCCAGTAGAATTCGATCTACATGTTATTTTAATAATTGATATTTCTTTCTTTATTTCTTCCCTTGCCTCTGTAGGCCTAATGCAAGTGCACTGTTATTTATCAGTTTCTGATCTGGAAAAACAATTTTTTACTGCCTTTGGAAAATCCTGCGACTTGTCTATGATGTTTTAATAATGTGTTCAGTCAAATCTTCAGTGTTCTATCGCTAATCGGGAGAGGGGAAGAAAAAAAAAATCCACAATAACAACATTTTGTCAAAAAAACTACCACTATTAAAGTAAACACTTTGGAAAGAGAGTAATGGCACTTCATTTTTTTAATTTTTTTTTTAAACTGCAAATTATTCTCGACATCTCTCAAATCTTGATTAAAAAATAAATTAGCGTATATTTTTAGGATATTGGTTGGAAAAGCATAGCATTTTCGTCATAGGAATTATCATCATCGCCGACATCGTCTTAATCATCATCATTACAATTTTAGGGTAGGCCTATGTGACGCAAATGTGGTTTCCTGTTTGATTATTTGTTCAAGACTTCAAGTTGTTCTGTTTTTTTGTTTTCTAGTTGTTCTAAATTATGCAGTATTTTATGCATTCAATAATAATAGTTCAACTTGAAAGATAAAACTTTCCGAAATGATCTTGAAAACGAAGTCGTCGATTCACTTCCATGGGGGGGGGGGGGGGGGGGGGGGGGGGGGGGGGGGGGGGGGGGGTGGGGGGGGGGGG